GAGAGAGAGAGAGAGGGGAGAGAGAATAGCCTCGAAGAGGAGAAGAGGGGCACACCTTCCAGTTCCACCTTCGGATAGTTTGTTCTACTGTTGCATCGCTGTCTGTCGGGCGTGGCACCCTAGGTGTGGAACCCTCAGTAGCAAGCTTCAGAGTGGAAGGTCACAGGCAGTGCTGCGTGGGGTTGAGGCTTCAGTTCGGGTTGAGGGCAGGGTGAGGCAGGTGAGGCGGGATACCAGCAGAGCCAGCAGACAAGAAGTGAGACACTCAGATTGTGAATGTGATGTGTTATTGGTTTGCATGCTGTGTTTTACCCTCAGCTGTGTGTGTTGAAGTCGAGAGGTACCTCACACCCAATAGGTGACAGGACAGTGTCGTGCACATCGTGGGGCACCAGCTCTTGCATGTCATTTAGAGTTGCTCCTTGCTTCGACGCTGCCCCCACGGTGGCACCACACACCAGCTGTCCTTTTACTCAACCTTTCAAACCTACAGAGACCCTCCATCTGTCAATATGATGGATGGGGTTGCGCCCTGGAGCGCGGGGTAGCAGGACTGCTGCTGCCCCACACCCCTAGCAAAGCAAAGCAAAGGGGAGAGAGAATGAGCTGCCCTTCTGAAAGAAGAGAGAAGAGATGGACTGAAAGGGGAGGCGAAGCACACGAGAGTGTGCCGCCCTTCACTTCCTGCGAACCGTGAGCCTCCGGCTTAAAAGCTTCCTCAACCTCGAGAACGAGAAAAAGAGAAGAGAGAACAGTAGTGTCTGTGTCTGTGAGAGAGAAGGAGCATTCTGCGGAGTCCTGAGAGGCCCGTCGGTGCCACGACGGCGACTACAACGATGGCTACGACGACCCCCACACCTACGACCACCACAACGACAACAACGACCACAACGACTACCCCCCCTACCACGACGACAACCCCGCCGCCGCCACCGACGACGACCACCACCACCACTACGACGACGACTACCGAAGCAGCAACGACCTCGGTGCCCGCTAGTACCTCGGCAGGAACCAGCACATCGCAAGGTCCCTCGACCACGCAGGCAAGTGGCTATTCAAGTCTCGAAGTTGGCGAGATTCTCGTAGCAGGCCAGGGCAACAGCTTGTCAAGCAGCATGTGGAATTCCCAGTGTCGTGTGTTTACTGTCAGCCAGTTGCTCCCTTTCAGGCGACAGTCAGGGATGGCAGAGCTTTTCTTTCCAAAGGCCTTTTGCCCAGCCGCCTGTCGTTGTGGTACTACCAGTGGTGACCGACGGAGAGACAACCCCAAGAAGTGTGCGGACTAGATCCGTGTCCACTTCAAGTTTTGAGGCTCTCGTTGTGATACCGCCGGGTGCGACCAGCATTCGACCGGACATGACGGTGTCCTACATGGCTGTACTTCCAGGAGCGCATGTGCTGCCGGACGGCCGAAAAGTTGAGGCTGGACTCAAGGAGACATCGGCCAGACAAGTGGGCAAAGCGTGCAAGGCTTCTGGAGTTGCTGCGAGCTGGGACAAGATCAGCTTCAACACGCAGTTCTCCTCCGCGCCAGCCGTCGTCGCGAATCTGCAGACCGCAAACAACGAGCAAGGTGCTGTGCCACAATTCTTTTCCAAGCCCTGGCTTACACTGGCTTGTAAGGATGTGTCAGCGACTGAAGTGTCCATCGCCCTGGACTCGGCAGAGACGTCGAAAGTTGGAGACGTCACGCAGACCGAAGAAGTCGGCTACATTGCCATGGAGACCGGACAGGGCACTTTCGCCGCGGAGATTGGGGGTGCCCCGGTTCTTTACAGCGCGGTCTTGACAGGAAGTGTCGTGAAGGGTCTTGACGATGGAGCTGTGGAGGTGGCGCTGGCCACCGACATGATGACCGAGTCCCCGCTGGTGGTGGGAAGCCAATCGACGCGGAACGGGGAGAACGGGGGCTGGCTCAGAATGTCCTCCATGTCCGGCTCCTCAGTGCAACTGGTCATAGACGAGGATATCTACTGTGACAGTGAGCGCAAACACATTGAGGAAAAAGCAAGCATCCTCGCCTGGTCGAGGGCTTTCTCCATGGGCTCGTCGACCCCCATCGCCACGACCACCACAACGACCACAACGACCACTACGACGACCACTACAACAACCACAACGACCACAACGACCACAACGACCACGACGACAACGACGACAACGACTACCACGACGACCACAACAACCACGACGACCACTACGACGACCACTACAACAACCACAACAACCACGACGACCACAACGACATCCACCACTACCACGACAACCACAACGACTCTGGCAGGGACTACAACGACAAGAACCCTGGCTGCTGCACCAAGCTTGGAAGTGGGCGAGGTGACGGTGCGAAGCGGGGAATGGACCAGCTTTTCATTCAGTGCAGCCTTTGCCGAAAAGCCGGTGGTTGTGATTGCAGTCTCTGGAGAAGGTGATGGGCCTGCAGCTATCCGCCTGCAAGGCATCAGTAGCACCGGCTTCCAAGCCATCGTTGCTACGCCACCGGAGACAGGCAGCGTGGTGAGTCAGATGACTGTCACCTTCGTGGCCATGCCTCCAGGCATCGCTCAGCTCCCAGGCGAGGACGGGGCCCGCCAGCTTTGGGATTTCTTGCGTTTTTTGACCTCTTGCCTTATTGCTTGGGGCGGGGAGGTAGTGGCCTGTGGCTGGAAGCCGGCCGCGATGCGACCTCGAAGCTCGTCTGGGCCCCAAGCTCCTAGGCGCTAGGACCGCTAGGACCGCTAGCAGCAACAAAGTCCAAGGCAGCAGCCAAGAAGTGCCGGCCTGCAGGACTTGGGCTGGGCCTCGCTTAGCAGCCTTCCTTGAAAAACAGGTGTCACTAGGCTCAGCATCGCTCAGCTTTGGTCTCGCGCTCGTCAGGAGGACTTCAGACGTCCTGGCAGAAAGTGAGCTTCCAGCACGAGTTCGCAGAGAAGCCCGCTCTTCTCACAACGATTCAGACAACGAACAACGAAGCCGGGCTGCCCTTGGACTCCAAGCCCTGGTTCACTGCGACTTGGCTAAGTCTTCACAGCTGAAATGCAAGGCAATTTCCTGTCTGGAAGCTCAGGTGGGGGTCAACAGCGTCAATCCTACGGATGCTTGGGTGCTGCACTCAGACCTGTCTCTTGACCCTTCACCGCCCTCTACCTGTAGCCCGTCTGGAGTCTGGAAAGTCTGGCCTCAGGTCGCCTTGGAGATGGCGGAGACGTCAGAGCACGGTGGCTCGAGCATCCAGGACGAAGAGGTTGGATGGATCGCCGTTCAGCAAGGTGCGCACTCCTTCCTGGCTGCTACAGGCGGGATACTTCACAGCTGGCATCTAGCATGAAGCTTAGGCAAGACAAGCCCAGAGCTCTGCCAGGTCAAACGATTCAATGCGCATCTGTCTATTCCGCACGAAGCGTGCCTGGTTGGCAAAATGGCGGGGCCACAGTTCCACTTGGTACGGACATCGGAAGCACGAGTCCCCTGGTGGTCGCAAGCCAATCAAAAAGGTGGGGAGGTGACGGCGGCTGGGTACGAGTTCTGGGAGCCACCAGCTCCTCTGTTGATGTTGCCATCGACGAAGACAGGAACTGCGATACTGAAAGAAAGCACACCAAAGAGGAAGTAAGCGTCGTTGCCTTCTCCGACCGGTGCATCATCTGATGTGCTGAAGAAGCGGAATTCAGTTGATGGACCTGGATTTACTGAGCGGGAACCATCTGCTCACATCCACTGGTCCAATGCACCCTAGTTTTGTGGCGCGAGGGTGAGAAGTGGCTAACGGGTCGAAGCGTCATCAAACCGACGTGTTTTCGAGCGCAGTCGTTGTGACTAGAAACGTTCGACATAGCCAACACCTTTATGGTGTCAGAATGTTTCAGCTTAGCTCCAAGTTTGCTGCTTAGCTGCGCAGTGTGCCTCCCGCGCACCAGCCGTGGTTGTCCAGGGTCCCGTGGCCAAAAAACCCCGTCGCCCATTTGAAGCTCTTGCCTAGTCTGATTTCGGGGTCACTGCCATCCGCGATACAGCCCGCAGTAAGGCTTCTTTCCGAGCGCCATGCACGCAGTGACATGGACTAGGTTTGGGCATAGCGTGTGATTTATCTGGAGCCATGTGAAGGCAAGCCTGCCCCTGCGAAGTGGATGGTGTGATTTTCGGGACATCGCATGTACAGGCATTGCTTCTGCCGTTCGACTGCATCCTTCAGAGAGCTATCACTATCGAAAGTTCCACAAGCCAGACACGGAATGGTGTTCTCCAGATCAATCTTCCGCGGCGGCAATCTGGTTTCCGACAGGTTGTCCACAGTGCTGCAGCCATAGAGCGGATGAGCTCCCCCCGAATGCTTACCCTGGGGGAGCGCTAGGCTGTTCGGTCACAAGGCCTTTCTCTGCGCTCTCTTTCTTTGTCCAGATGCGCCATGACACTTGTTGGAATCGGGTTACTTTCACGTTTGCGCATCTTCGTTGGAACTCAATCGTGTGCAGACATGCGCAGACCAGTGGCTCAGCAGCTCAACAAGAAAAACTACTTTTCTTACGTAGGCGAGAATAGAATAGGTCTGGCTTGTAATGTCTGCTGCGGTCATGACACAGGTGACTCGTAACGCGAATCGCTCAGCTCCAGCTCAGCCCAGAGCAAACAAAAAGCGATCCCTTGAAGCAAGTTGTAACTTTCCCCCGCCGTGATCAACTGAATGCCGGCAGAGATCGGCGCCTTTGCAGGCTGCGTCGATTTCACGATCTGGCCAGTTTTGGTGTTTGTGCCCCGAAGGCTTTCGCTCGGGCCATGGCGGACTACCAAGCGCTTCCTAGTGATGACGAGATCGATGCTTTCACGGGGAAGGCATTTTGGAGCTTGCCGCTGCCTGCCGTTTTGATTGGGTTTGTCAAGTTTGTGTCAGATGATTGACAGTGTAGGTGAGCCGTGTGACTCGAGGTTGCTGCTCTTGTCAATCGCTCCGTTCTTTGGCGCCTATGCTCTTCTGGCAGATGCAGTTCTGCATGCAGCCAGCACATATGACCTGCAAGCTTGGAGAATGTGCCGGCGCACTGAGGCAAAGAAGGACTGGCCGATTCTGCTGTATGGTGCCGGGGGCTGGTGGCTTGCTCTGCTGATGCGCGTTCCCGTGGTCCTTGGTACGAAGGCCTGTTGCTGGTTGACTTAGCCCCCGCTATCCGGACAGTATCGATTGCAGGCTGTCTTGGCTGACTCAGCATCACAGCAGTCATGGCTGCAGCTCGTCACAACTCTCGTGTCCGGGCCGGCAGAGGCAGAAACTCTTCGGGTCTTTCGATAAGCAGTTGGACCACATGGATGCCCTGTTTCCAGGAGAGTGTGCGGGTGACAATGCTCTTCACCTTCGGCTGGGCCGCCCGCTTTGATGCGACCTTTGCCTTAGGCCGAGCAGTCATCAGCTGCACGGTCGTGTTGTTTTGTAGGCCCCTTAGCCGTTAAACTTAAGGCCGAAATCACTTCATCCTCTTTGCTTTGTTCCATCTTTTTCTGGCTTTTTCCTGGCAGGTTTGGGCTGGACGGCCTTGGAGCTGGTCTTCACTTGTGTGCAGTCGCTTGCGGCGACGCAGCTCCTGAAGGCGGCAAAGTCCGGGAAGGATCCAAAGGCGGTCGAAGCTGCTCGGGCTCTCGAAAGCTATGAATTTTTCTTAAAGATCCGCCACCATGTCCACCGCTTTAAGGCATTTCACCAACTCGCTGCGCAAAGTGGGCGAGACGATCCCTTGAGTTTGCACCCGGCATGGGGCATCCTTAGCTGCACTGGTGCAAGCACAATAAGCACATGACTTCTTCTACACAGGTTTTTGAGTTTTGATTTGCTTCCATTGCACGTCTCAAGTGCGTGGTGGTCGTTCGAGTGCGCCAGAGGCATCCTTGAGCGCTTCAGCGCTCACGAGCTCCACCTCGCGATGTCGCCTGTTTGCCCAAGCTCTTGTCTTGAAAACGGTGTCCTTGGTGTTCCACCCGCACATCTGCAAAAGCTGTCCTAGGGGGAAGATTCTTTTCTCGCCTTGTCTCAGGGGGCTCCTGGGTGCGCTTTCCCCCTGGATGGTGTTGGGAACTTCGTGCATTCATTCTGCTGTCAATTGGTCCACCGTAGCTGCCCTTCGCACGCACGGCCCAGTCATCGCAGAACCCTGTCTTGAATCTTTGGGTACCGGGTATCTATCATGTTTTTCGCAAACTTCTTGCTGAGGTCGTGTGCCTGCCTGTGTGTGAGTGACAACCAAGGAAGTTGGCCTGTTCATATTTGCCTCTGTACTGCTTCTGGCGGCACTCGGCATGTGGAGCCATTTGCGGCCATGATCATCAAGAAAGACTTCTGCCTTAAGTTCGATGGCCGGCCGACCAGCGCACTGCCAGTCAGCATCGGCAGTCATTGGCCATGCAAAAAGGATCACGGACCCAGTCCATTCAAAGCTTACACAGAGGAGCATGCACATCCGCACGGTTTGCCCGCTGCCATTTGTCACTTCCCCACAGGCCCAGCCAAGAAAGGATTATACAAATAGCCACCAACAGCTGCGAGCTGTGCTCAGATCCTTTGTTTAACATAATGTGCTGCCGTGCAGAGCCACATCATCTTCTCAGGATTGATAGCCTCATAGGCTCCCTCTATGCAAGCTGTGCAGCCTCCCAAAGATCACGGAGTGTTGCGCAGTAGGATTTCCTGATGAAAAAGCGGGCGGAGGCTTGCGGTTTTGATGGTTGGTGTTTCTGTGTCCGTGTCGTTCTTACTCACTCCTGGCTGCCATTGACTGGCTAGGCTCGGTTGCAGGGCCTCGGGCGCACAGTTGTAATAGATGCCCGTAGCTCAGTGAATCTCGAAAGTGCGGCTCAACAGTCCGTCATTTCAGCGTGCCGCGGTATGCCTAAGGTCGGCAGCGGAATTTGCAAAGCTGGAACTGCTGGCGAGGTCGTAGCAGAAGTGCCCTGCAAGCCCACACTGCTTGCACTGCCCCCTGCAGGATGAGCCAAGCTGCAGATTCCCCTCAATCATCGGCAGACCCAAGCAAGCTGTTGCCTTGGAAATCAGGAGTTTTAAGGCAGGATGCTGGAGATTGCAAGGAGGACTTGTCACAGACTCAGGCCAACGTCATGCAGGGCTCTGGCGAGCAAGACCACTACATAGGACGCGGGACTGTTCACTATTGCCAGGGTTACCGCATTGATCTATGCGCTCATTGCTGGCTTCTTGGATTCGCAGGAGAGGAAGCTCAAGCGAAGCGTGGCATCCTTGGGATCAAGTCCTGGAGAACAACGTGTGGCAACAGTAAGCTCATGTGATGTGGAACCAGGTGGCATCCTCAAGATATCGTATCCCGTTGAACATGGTATAGTGCAGGACCGGCGTGACAGCCCTGTGTGCAGAGGTTTCACTTCAAGTACTGGCATTGTATCTTCAGCATGGCACAGGACTGGGAGGACATGGAGCTCATTTGGAGGCATACCTTCTTCAATGAGCTGCGGGTTCAACCAACGGCCTTGACCTCAAGCTGCGGACTTCGAAAGCTTTCGGTCCAATTACGACACTGCTTGAGGAGCAGGCCGTATTGCTGGCCGAAGCTGCGCCGAACCCCAAGGTCCCCGGCGATTGTAAGCGTGTGGGGTATCTGTGACTTCATTGTTTTCTGTGAGGCCAATCGTGAACGGATGACGCAGATCATGTTTGAGGTCCCGTGTGAGACGCTGCTGGCTTAAGATGCTGTTGTTCCTTTGTGAGGTGTTCTACGTACCTGCCTTGCGCCGTGGTCGAAATGACTGCATTGTCGTGCCATGGCTAGCTACAGTTTTTGTGGACGGGTGTTTGACCAAGGTATATAACGACTCAGGCGGTGCTCGCCATGTATTCGTCTGGCAGAACAACCGGGACATCCGGAGTCCTTATGTGGTCGCTTGCTTGTCCATAACTTACCGCAGCGTTTTGTGGGAAGCAAGACGCACGTGTCTCTAGCAAAACGGCCTGGTAACTCACGCCTGCCAACAAGAGAAGGCACACAAAGTCACAGTTTGACTTCAGCTGCGATCTCCAAACGAACACAGGTACAAGAGCACTCGGGGATTGACTCCGGCATCCTTCTTGCATTTATTGTTGACGGCAGTCCGGATGTACATGTCCAAGACTTGCCACCACCTAGCCACGCACAGTGTCCGCAAGCAACAGACCTGCAGGCTTACGACTCTGCTTCGCCAACTCATGCTTGTTGTGTGTGAGGTGTGGTAGGGTACCGATTTGCGAGGAAGCCCTCTATTCCTGTCCCTGACGAAGTTGCCGTTGCAGCCCCGAAAACCGGAGAATCTACAGAGCACGTGGTAAGTTACGTGCATGCGTTAGCCCGTGTCCCGTCATTGAACTGTAAGTCGCCATGAAAGTAGTTTCTTCCTTCGCAGGATTGTGTGCGACAGTGGAGATGGTGTCACGCATGTGGTGCCTGTGTACGAGGCAAGTCAAAAGGATTTCGCACGTAAATGGAGAGCCAGAAGCAAAGTCATCAGGGCTTCTTGCTGCCGCATGCCGTCGCTCGCGCTGACTTGGCGGGCAGAGACTTGACAGAGTGCCCTTGAGGTTCTCAAGGTTAGGGCCTGAGCCAGATGAGATCTGGCTGGCCCATGCTGTGTCGCTTCCGCGCGTAATCTGTTAGGGAGTGGCTGGCTGAAGCTTGAGGTGGCAAGATTGCCTCTTACAGCAAGTTGTCCTTGGTGCTTGGTTTTGCAGGTACTTAATGAAGCTGGTGGTTGAATCAGGCCATTCAGTTCGTGTTGGGACGCCGGGTCTGAGTTTTCCGTGGGGAGGCACGTCGCTTTCTACCACTGCAGAGCGGGCCTGCTGGCAGCACAAAATCGTCATAGGAAGTGTTTCCAGCGATTGCTTGCCAGACTTAGGAGATTGCACGTGACATGAAGGAAAAGGCCACATTTCCTGACAGTGCGACAAGAGCCAGAGATCTTCTTGCGTGATCTTCTACCGTCCCAGCTGCACGTGCCAGTGCTGCTATGTCGCGGACAACTTTGATGAAGAGCTGAAGAAGGCTGACCAGGCTGCCACCATTTAGCACAGTAAGAACCCATGCTGTTGCCAGGCAGAGGCTACAAATGCCTGCGCCTCCACTCACGAACCTTGGTGTATGACTACATCAGCGGTCACTTTGCAGTATCCCTGCCTGCAAACACCAAGGAGCTGCCCGATGGTAATGTCATTCGATTAAACTCTGAGCGCTTCAAGTGCCCCGAGGCGCAAGCCCGAAGAGTGCTTAACCCCACTTTACTCTGCGGTGCGTGAAGAGGCCTTGTTCAATCCAGAGCTGGTTGGCCGGCCTGAAACAGAGGTGGCTTCCTCTCTCCAGTTGGATCATCTCGACAATTTTTCTGCTGTCAAGCATCTCCTCCTGGTTGCAGTGGCAGGGCGTCCACACTCAGATATACAAGGCGATCATGAGGCCACGCTATTGACGAAACTGCTCGCGCAGCTCTTGAATTGGCTTTCTTGTCTGAACCGCACCGTCCCAAGAGGTGCGATCTGGACATTCGGAAGGAGCTGTTTGCAAATGTGGTTGTGCTTGGCCCTTGATGTCACCTGACCTCTCAACTTGATTCGTGACAGCTTTGCCAGAGGTCAGGTGGAAGTACCTGCTTTCCAGGCGCGAGGTATATCTGCACATCGTGGTCGGCCAGAAATGGACCATGTGTTTTGCGGATGGAAGGCTTTGGCAGACGGCTTCAAGCCGAACTTGCAAAACTTATACCCAGCACCGTGAGAATACGCAGGGGCCTTCTTTCGCGAAGTGTTCATCCAGGGAAGACCCCATGATGCTCGCTGCAGGTGTGCTGGCACCTGACGACCGCCGATTTTCAGTTTTCATTGGAGGCGATAATTGCAGTCCAGTATCATATCAGAATCGCCAGGAGCAGAAGTGTACATCAATAGCAGACATGAGGTGCAATGCTTGCTGATTTGGATCTATTCACAGAGCTTCAACTGCAGCTTATGATGCCTCACGGCCCCCACGCTACAGGTCCATCGGTGTGACACTTGTTCGAGAGTCAACTTCCAAGGACATGTGCGTTGACCGTACTGAGTATCTGGAAGACGGGCCCTGCCCTCAGTGGTAAGCCCAGCAGTGTGAAAGAGTCTCTTCACAAGTGGAGCTGCTCAGGCCGGCGATTGTGCATAAAAAGTGCATCTGAATTCGCTCAGCCCAAGAATGACATGCTTGGCCAACAAGCAGGTTCGGTCTCAGTGAGCTTGTGGAGGTGCCGGCCCTGGGGAAAAAGAGCTGCCGCATGGCAACCCCGAGTTAGTACCGGTCTAACAAGAACAGCCAATGCGCCATCTCAATAGCTGGCGGTGTAGTGGTATCCATCGTCGTAGAGTGGTTGTGGTGGCAGCGGTATTACCAAGATTATTCTGGTGATGATAATTTCGGGCTTTGCTATTGGAGGCAGCAGTGGTAGTGCTCGTGATGGCGGTCGTGGTCGTCGCGGTGGTCATCGTAGCAGTAGCAGTAGCAGCGGCAGTAGCAGCACCTGCAGCAACGGCAGCACGACCATCAGAGCAGGAGCATAGAGTCGCTCCGGCGGAGGCAGCATTGCACAAGTCAAGCATTTGCAACTTGACCAGCTGTATGGTGCAAGATTCGTTCGTGTTGTGCCCAGAGCATCAGAGCATGCAAAAGGGACATCTGCAGAAGAACGCAATGGAATGCAGCACGACGGAACTGTGGTGGCGTCATCCAATACCGGTCTTTTGAGTCTTTGGAGTAGTCCGTCCAACCGCCAATGTAGATAGACGGAGAAGTCCTGCTTGCAATGTCGCAGCCTGCTATGCTGGCTTGTTTTCGCTGGGTTGTGTTTGTATGCGCTGCTTCTCAGCTCTTGAGGTTGCTGACGCCTAGAGACTGTCTGCATCTGAGCAGGGGCCATATACGGTTCCGAATTACGACATCTTCGGCCACCACCACCACAGCAAGCCGTTCAAGGTTGAACACGCTAGTCTCAAAGCGGGTTGCCGGTTTCCGCTGTAACCTCTGCAGGACAAATCCCATTTCCTGGAGAAAGATGTCCAGTCCTTAGTTTGGCGAGGGTTGATGTACTTCTAGTGAAGCAGAACTTGTGCAGGTAGATTTCCTTCGTTTGCGATGCGCATGATGCCTTCCAGAATAGTTGTTTGCATTTTATCTTCGACGGCGCCTCCTTCCAGGTTTGGCATCCCAAATGGTCTTCTCGGCACGTTTTGCAGATGGCCCAACGTCGAAGGACTTGTTACTTTTTCATTTCCGGTGCAGGTTGGATGCGCCGCCGGCCATCCGCTCCCGAGCAGAACTTCAGCAGGCATTGCCCGGCAGTGCAAAGGGCCTTGCAGAGCACTGTGCATGCAGCAACTGCATGTTGCGAGTCCAGACCCCTGGTGGCAGGCACGCAAGCAGGGAAGAATCCCAGAAGTAAGAAGCTATGATTTCGATGGCAGAGGACTCAGCACAAGCATCGAGCCTTGAGGAAGGCGAAAAGAAGGTGGTGCATCAGGTAAGCGGCCGTCAATGGATGGTAGGGTCGCAACTACCCAGAAACTTGTGAAAGGCAGGCCTAAACGCAGGTTTAAGAGCGTACCAAACTCTCAGAAGGAGCTTCTTCAGGTCGAAGAAGCAGAACACGTTTAAAGGCGCAAGATGTGCTCCGCAGTCGAGGATGGCATACTCACCACCACCCACACCCACACCCAAGTATGTGGCTTGACACGTTCAACACGCAGGCAAGAACATTGCAGCGACTGGACGGAGAGCTTGCAGCGCTTTATCTCAGGTGACGGAGTTGTCGGCCAGCTGGACTATTTCATTGGCAAGTGTTTCGATCAAGATGCAGATGGACGATTGACGACTGCCGAGAAGCGGCGCGTAGAGAAGGCATGGGTGGGGGCACGGGGCCCAGCCCGCACTTGTAGCGCTGTCCAATGGACAGGCCCTCGAGAATGGCTTCCTCGACAAGTATGTACGAGGACTGGACGCCACTGGGCAGGCTCGGCTTCTAAGATTTCTTGAAATTGTCTTTACACCGTCTCTGCTCAGGTTCACAAGTGCGGCCCTGCTGGGGCCTCGTTGATGGACCCACTGCGCAGGTTCCGAAAGGGCACAGCAGGACTGTGGGAACGCAGAAGCTTTGGATGCGGTTCACGGTCCGGTTTGAAGCAAGCTAAGTCGGCAGCAGTCGGTCAGTGATTGCCCATCCGAGATCAAGCAGAAGCGCGGCGTCATCTGCGGTCCCGACAGCGCCAATGAAGCCAGTGTGTCCACGTGTCTCGTCGAGGAATCCGGTTCTTGAGGTTTGACAAGTCGCACCCCAGCCATCTATGAGATCATGTGACATTAAAGGGAGCCTGCTCGGGGTTCTTTACTTGCACAGACAGCCGGCGTGCTTAAGGTACCCGCCTCATTTCAATGCTCATCACGTGCCCGAGCACTACACGAGGACTGCCTCTTTCGCCACCTCGGCTCCATGTTTGGTAGATTCGCACAGCTAAAAGGACAGCACTCAACCTAAGCCGAAAGGCTGAGGCGCACAGCTCAGAATATTCGGGTCCTCTTTAGCCGCATAAGTCACAGGCTGACCATGCAAATACTTTCGCGTCGAGATCTCCTATACTTCGTTTGTTCCGTGCTCGTTTCGTTATGACTACGTTTGCGAATGTGCGTCTTCAGCACTTCCTTGAGTGACATGTCCAAGACACGGACTGTACAGGATCTGGACATGAGGGCTCATGCTCAGATGCAGCAGTCGAAATCTGCCCTGGGGTTTTCGGGAAGTGCATGCGACTTCAATAGCTGGCATTCTGCGAAAGAAAAAGCCCTAGCAGGTCAAGGCTGCCGGGCTCATTGCAGGCGAGAACTGGGCAGCGCGCTGTGAACCAGCCGAGCACTCGTACGTCACAGGGTGGCCAGGAGACAAGGCTTGATTTGTGGCGGACTTGAGGTTTTGGAGCGCCAGCCGCCGAATCATGAGACGCATCCGCGAGACTGCGAGCCCCTCATTGTTGGCGAACTCTGAGGACATATGACGACTTCTGATATTGACCGAGGCCCGATAGCACACATCCGTGAGCGTGCAGAAGGAGACCACCAGGCATGCTGCGGTTGAGTGTGACAGTCTGCATCATGCATGCTTGGCAGTTGGCACGAGTCCGCGGTGGTCTAATGCCGATGAGCTACCCGGTGAACCCGGAGCGCGAGTGCAAGACCGACGGGTTCCAGGGGTTCCAGAGCGCGCAAAAGAAGATAGTTGAAGTTGGAGATGCCTGTTTGATCCTGTTTTGTGTTTGCTGTACTACTGCCTCCAAACCCCTGTGTCAGGACGGTTGGCATGCAGCGCGTGGAGGATCCCACCTTCCGCACGCGAGGCCAGCATCGCCCTCAGTGGGATCTGGAGCTCTGCTGAGAGTGATCACACCTTTCAAAGGGGGGAGTTGCTTCGAGGTTGTTGGAGACTCGCAAAGAGCTCATGAAGCGGGACAACGAGGACCGCCAGTGACCGACTCAAAGCCTATCCCAGCCTGTAGCCCTTTGCCTCAACAGGCCCGCAGCCACGGTCTCTCTGCTCGCTTGTCGAAGGAGTTGAGGCTGAATGGCGACGAGTACTATGTGCCCCTCTCCATAAGGAACGGGGAGAGGGAGGCGCGCGGCTGGATGGGCATCAGAAGTTTTGGGTATTTATTCTATGAAAGTGTGTAGACGCAACGAGGTCGAGGAGTTTAACTTCCGACGGCCGAAAGAAGAGCCGATGACGCTTACAAGACTGAAGGCGGCGTGTGTAAGCCACTCGAGGCGTGTGCAAGATCGTCCTTTCGTCATGTCTTCTCAGGACAACAGACTCAAGGACAAGGCTGCATGTATGCAGACTGTCTGCTCAGCAAGCAACTCATGCGTGTTGCTTGATTCTGGGCAGATTGAGTATGACATGAACCACTTCAGCTTTCCGCGGAGCTTTCCGCGAGAGTGCCCTGCCAGACTCAAGTTCAGAAACCTGCCAATGCTCATGACAATCGCGCACGCAGACGATACGTGCCACAGGTCAGACCATGCCTATGCAAGTGCAGGTACCCGAAGTACTCTGACCATCCCGACATTCCCTTCTGGGCTTGGTTCTGAGTACAGTACACGAAGCCAAAAGAGTCTCTCGTGAGCTTCAGCTCAGGTGTCTAACGCCGAAGATGCCAGAATTGGGAGTAGCCCACCGCAGACTCTGAGCAGGCGCCACGTCGTCAAAGCAGTTGTGTGACTTGACTGTGCTTCGAGAGAGAGAGAGCAGGAACCACAGCGAGCCTGCGTTCAAAGTCACCGAGCTGCCCTTCGGAGAGGAACAAAGGGAGACCTACGAAGTGATGCCAGGCGCTTTGGCCGGGCCCCGCAGCGACGCGACGCGACGCGAGTCGTGCGCCTTTGGCAGACTCCGCCAAAGCGCTGGCCGCGGGCAAGATGACCCTGGGCCGCCAGGCCAGACGGTCAAGACACACAAAGAGGCCGCAGAGGTTGCAGAGACACGCATGGGCTGAGACCGAGCTGGGCAGCAAGACGGTGAAGCGCTGGTCCACTGATATGCTGGAGCGGGGTCAGGCCGGCTGAAGGGATCTGAAGGGTCTGAGAGGGGCCGAGGTCTTCGTATTCGCTGCGTTTGCTTTCCGTCAGGCTCGAAATCAGCCTCGGCTCTTCGACAACATCCGACCGGCCGGTGTTGCCCAGTGGTTTCCCAGGGATCCAAACCTTCCCTAGGCCCTAGCTTAGAGCCCGCCATAGCCCGGCCCAGCTCTAAGAGCGCCAGCACGCACGCCAGCTCGGGCCGAGCCGAGGTCAGAATCGGACCCAAGGATTTGGAGCCTCTCGATCTGACGCCCTGCCACTCAGAGCCTTGCGGAGCTGTTCTTGCGATGTTTGAGTCCTGGTACAGAGCAGGAGCATGTGCAGGACCTCTGGCATGCTGTATCAATCTAGAGATCGACATGCACGGCAGGCAAGTTATAACTAATCCAAAGCTTTCGTCCTTACGTGCTGCTGTAAGACTCAAAGACAAGCTATCATGACCCAGCCGAAGACTCTATCGAATACCATCGGCACAAGACTAGTATGAGTAGCAGTGGCTAAGTCGGCTACGTAGTTCCGAGTCCTCAGGTCCTCCATGGAGCCGATTCGCAATGCTGCGCTTCGGAGACAGGCTGAGGAACGCAAGAAGGCTGGTGCTCACCTTCTGAAGTACTAGCACAAAGAGGCCCAGGGAGCTTGGCACAGCTGTGCAGATGGCGGCCATGCCGAAGCGCAGCCGGCTCTACGTGGATCCATCTGAGGCCTTGAAGGGATTTCGCACGGTCGGCTCTGGTGGTCGCTCCTCTGAGCCAGGAGACAAATGCCAAGCTGCCAGCGCAAGCGGCGCGGAGCCCATGAAGATCCCTCGTTTCCGGAAAACGCGAACGCATGCCAACCGTTAGAAAAGTAGCATGGACTTGTGTGGGAGATGCAGCTTTTCTCGCCAAAAGTGTCAGGTCGGCTCCAAAATGGAATCCTCAGAGGCGGCACAGCGGTCGACGGACATCCGGGGGGGCGGGCTTGTGCTGGTTTGCTAGCGGGCCCTCGACTAGGACCTCTCCCGTGAATTCAAAGGCATTGCCAGAGGGATCACTGCCCGTGCCCGCAGTCCACTTTGGCTCCGGGTTCGAGGTTCGATGTGGGGGCGCACGTGTTGTCGGAAGCAGTTCAGTCCTGGTGCAGTCCATATAAGCCCCACGCATTGATGGTTTAGCTACTTGTCGAGTCGGAGGCACACCACATGATCCCACGCAATGCTTGAATTCAGCTGTAGAAAAGACTTCCATCCTGAGCAACAACGATACATGATACAAGCGAAGTACGACGATTGCGGACTCGAGCTTAGCTACATGTCGTCACGCATGAGATGCTGGCTCGGGCTCTGGCCACTCGCTGGACGCCTGGAAGGGCTCTTCAAGGCCGAAATTCACGGATGTCCGGTAAAACGTTGCAGTGCCCAGGTTTTGCTGGGATCCTTTCCGGCTTATGAGGCTTGGCCTGCGTCAGAAGCGAATGCCGTTGGAAAAAGAGCCCGTGGGGCGCCGTGGGGTGTGCAGGTCGGACAGAGCGAGTCGGGAGCTTGGGCTCTGCACGGCGTGGTTTTCATTCTGTCACTGGAGCTTCCGGGAGGAAGAGACGCTTGGGGGATGCTCTGCAGCAGGCTTCCTCCACATGCCTCGCGTGCAGTTAATTTTGCTGGAGTATGAGTTTTCTTACAGCATCCTTGGCATCGTGGCTTGCGAGGATACCGAGTGCTCCGCTGGCAAGAAATGCGTAGTGGTCCCAGATGCGGCGGCAAGCCCTGTTGCCGGGCACTCGTAGTAGGAGAGGATGCTTCGGGCAGTCCTGTGGTAGGCTTTCCAGTTTCTGCAATTTGCGGCTGCCGTGGATGTGTTCCGGCCTCACGGGCTTCAGGGAGCCTTTGAGACAAAGCGGGCAACACATCTGCATTTCCCTTGTCAGGCAAGAGGGCAGCAGCGACGCAGAGAGTGATGCGACCGATCACCAGGCGCCGGAATGCCATGCCAGAGTTTCCCGGTCAAGACGACGCATGCTGGAGTGTCCCAGGATTGGAAGTCGGCGTTTGGACTGGGCCTTAGACGATCTATTCGGAGACTTCGGGCCAACACGATCTTGCGTGTGCTGAGACTGGCGAGACGAGCTGTCTACTCCCCTTGGGCACAACCTTCTGACCGAAGCATATTCTGGTACAGACTGCAAGTCAAGGGCTCATCATTGATCCAGAGATGGTGATGTTGAAGAATCTCATACTTTCGAGATCCGAGGTACCATGTCTGTGACCAGGTAGACGTGGGCCCCAGCAAGTGCCTGGGGGGCAGGCCTTGTGCTGCATCGCGGGACACAGCGGGACACAACTTGGCTGGATGGTCGAAATGTCACTCGTGCCAGGTGTATCTGTGCTCAGGGTTGGAGGGGGAGAGATGGAAAATGCATTCCCGTGGCTTCTTGGCGGTGACCTGCAGGTTAAGTCACTGACACGCGCACAGACTTTCACAGTTCGCAGGAACCCCTCCCTGATCGCTCTGTTCCTTTGCTACCATGATGTGCAGTGATTAAGGATCAACAAACATGCGCCAAGAAGACCGGCGGCGGGCGTGTGCCTCAGGACCTGCATCCTGCGCCTTTGCAGCAGGACGGATGTTTCTCAACTTCAGGTGTCGATTCTGGGGCTGTGCATCATCGAGAGGTGCTGTTGACTGCCAGCGGGGCCCTGGGTCACCAATGACTCTGATGTGGCTTGGGTCGGACGTATCAAAGTTTGCTGCTTGCCAAGGGCTGGCGAATGTGTTTGCAAGACTGGCTTCTGCGTGATTGCCTTAGAATCCTTAGAAGCTCAGGGCCCTACGTTCCTGTCTTGCGACTGGACAAAAAAGCAAACAGAAAAAGGCCATCGGAGGCCGCTGCCAAGTCGTCAAAGATGTGGGCAGCCGCTGCAACGAGCCAGGCTCCCAGTGCGTCCCCCATTTTGTCCGATTTTGTCCGAGTATCAGTTGACTCCTTGCCTTCCCGCGCTGCATGCTTTTCGGTGTGTTCCTGCTCATGCCACCTGATGAATGCAGCAGTTTCATGGCGGAGCCCAGGACTCTCCCATGCAATACATCACTGGGGGATGTGGCCTGTGAGGACTGCGCTTTCCGGCATGGTGACAGATTCAAAAGTAGTTAAGCAAGGAGTTCTTGTGAGACAGAGAGGACCTAAAGGGTTGAAATCTTGCAAGCGACACTCAGGATGATGGATACTGCGCCTGTGCGCAGGGAACTCAGGCGGAGGCTGAGTTGCGAGGGGCCTGGGATTCGATGAGCCTCCGAGGGATGGAAGCGGCTTCATTGATGCTCGATGTCAGCACGTTTCTGAATCAACTTCGCAGTGGCACTGGTGGCGGTGAAGGCTTGGACACCGTGCTTTAAACGTTGCAGCATGCAGCCCGACCTGTTTGGAGGATTGCAATCTATACAACCGTCATCGTAGGTGCCTGCCTCAGTCCCATGCATCCCTTGCAGTGCGATTCCCCAGAAGGCTCAGACGTGTTGCGAGTCATCTTCATGCCTGAGTGACTCCCTGCATGTGCGAAAGTAGCTTTTGATTGCTCTCTCCCCGACAGCTACAAAGTGTCCTCTCATTGGAGCTGCAGTACGCCCACCCCCTCATCGAGCATTCTATACCATGTCAAGTCTCTGAGCCTGCTTAATTCTGTGCCTATTTAACGAATGCCTTCGCTGTTAGCCTGGACTTGCTGCTGACTCAGGCGCATGTGGTTGTGGCTCTTGCGGCGTTGACAGCTTCTCTAGCAATGCCCGCCATGTGATACATGCAGATCATGTTGATAGCTTGGTTGTGTGCGTGCGAGTACCCTTTTCCGATGCACGTTGCAGCCTGAATGGAAATGCTTGCAACAGTCTTGCAGATCGTAGTCTTCGGTTTGAAGTGCAGGTAGATCAGGTGACCAGGCCTTGCCAATCTCGTCACCCATGCGCAGAGACGCAGTAACTTTTGCAAACAAGAACTTACATCAGCGAGACGATGTTTCTTTTGGTAAGGGAGGTCTGGATGCGACCTGGGCTATACCAGTGTTTGGGTCACCTGCGATAAATCTTCACTTGTGCTGAAAGCACGCGATGACTGATACTTGCCGGCGAACGTGCCCAAAAACAACATCATGCCCGGGCCTGGTTGCCGTTTTTGGAAGGCCGAACTCCGCGAACGGCACGTGCAACCTGCAGGGAATCAGCAAGTGCAATGCAGCGACAGGAGCCCCCTCCGTCGGCCACCTCTGCTGCGACCAGGCGCTTGTACTTCCAGCCACGCTCTTCGCGCTCTCCTGTCACTTCTCTTGGAACCAGCTCAAGTCTAGCCCATTGCAGAAGCCTTCTTTCTTTTCGAGAAACACAGCCAATTTTGTGGCGTGCACCCAGTCTCACAAAGTCTGCAGCCAGGATGCCGGGAAGGCGTGTGCCCATTGTCACCAGCGAGCCGGTTTTGCGCTCGCCAGGTGCGATGTTGTGTGCTGCGTGTTCTTGAAGCGCTTTGTCTGACCTAAAAGTAGGTCGATGTTGCAGCATGAAGTCGTTCGAGTTCGAGATCGGTGCATGAAAAAGGAAGGCACTCGCACTCCGCTGCACTCAAGATTGCCTCGACCAGTTCTGGAGACGACAACGCCAAAAGAGCCGAGGCCAACGCTGGAAGATTTCGTGCCATTTGGACCGTTTGGGGTTTGGAGTCGTTCAGGCTTTACATCTTTTCAGTTGAGGACAGCCCGCACATGCATCGACGTGCTTTGTACATGCGGAAGGCATTTTGGCACTGGAACCATGCCGCTGGCACAGGCAGGGTGGGATCCGGGAAGTGCCGTGCATCCTAGTTCGCATAGTGGGCTTTCTACATGCAGCCACTCTGAAATACCCTGACACTCTGTTTCTTTCTCGCCTTCTCTCGCCGGTTCAGGCCACCACGGGCTATGGAGTCCGCTGTGGGGGCTTCCAGCACGTCGAGTCAGCCATGCACTGTGCTTAGTGCACTTTGCATGTCCTCCAGAGCAGCTAGACTGACACGAGTGATGCGCGCATGTGTCTCAACTTTAAATCTGAAGATGCTGTTTGGAATCTTGAGTCGGTGTTGCCATCTCGCCTGAAGCGCTGGCACTTGCCAAGCCGCATCAATGCGTGGCCAGGTGTGGCCAGCATCCAATCTGGTCATTCTCACCTGCTGCCACGACCACCATAGACTTTTGTAGCCTCTGCCTACGAGGTCCATGCAGCGCCCCAGTCTTCGTGAGAGTCGGGATTCCCGAGCACGGTCAACCCGCACGCTTGAGTTTGCCAGTCATTTGTGCCGACATTCCTGCATTCTTTGTGCAACTGCTCGGCCGAAGCCGCTTCCCTCATCACAGCAAGCTGCGCTAGCTTTGTGTTTGCCATGGTGCGTGGCTCACGTCTGTTGGCGGCTGTCAGCTTGAGCCTTTGACAGGGTTGTGGCTGAACTGCCCCTGCATGCAAAGATTACAGTTTATGTGCTGGACCTCCCCCCGTCTCTGAGGCCTAGTTCTCTGTTTGCGTTTCAGCCTCAATGTAACTGCAGGACAGACATTCGAGCATGCTTCAACCTACAGCCCAGAATGTTGTAAATTGCATGTTCCACACACACGTGTGATTGTTGCAGCTGCGCGAAAGACCAGTGCATTGAAAGTTGCTTGGCAGAACTGCGGGAGCAACGGAAGCTGGGAGGACTGTTGAACTTTGTGGCACCGACCTCTCGGACTCAAGCCGTGGCCTTGGTGCTGGCAGCGGTCCGCTGCTCGCTTCCGAGCCGACGACATGAGGTCGTGAGCGTCGCAGCTGTCTCTGCAGCGCTGTGGCCCTGGACGTACGGAGCAGGAGCCATGCGGAGCCGAGAATGTCTCAGAAGACTCAGGCTATCCGGAGCCGCTCCATGTTTCGCCGAGCCACAGAGCCTGGAGGAACAGTGGGACATGGCGCAGATCCTTGACCACTTGTGACGTCTTTGATTGCAGGAGACCCTGTCAGACGCATCCCCGGCTCTTTGGCTCCGTGTCCCTTAGATAGGTTTATGGACGGTATCGACAAAGCGACGACGGAAGGAACTGCACAGCCTGATCTGACAGTGAAGACCAGCGCAACATTTTCATGTCTGCTCATGTTCTCTCGCGCCAGAACACCCCGATCTTTCTTGGCCTTTCCATTGCTGTTACTGTCGGCCTCCTTCTCGTGCTTGCGCCTCAGCTTGTGCGCAGGCTTGTGACAGTCGGGAGCGGTGAGCGATTCCACCATGAATCAGGCGCGTCTATTTCCAAAGCTTTTTGGCTCCAGAACCTCTTTTGGCTCGCTGGGTGCTACAAGCCTGGCTTTGGCGTGCCGGTGGGGGTATGTCATGGGAAGTGTCGCAGCAGAATCTTCCCTTGCCACTGGCGGAGACGGGCTGGGTGCCGGCAGAGGTGTATTCCCGGCTCGCCCAGGACTTCGTAGCAGGCTGGGCATTGATTTCGGCTTCCGAATCAAGTCGCCCGCCCATCTTGGCTGTCTATGAGCTTGATGGGCATGTCTTCCGCAAGTTTCTCCACCGTTCGTCACCTTGGATTCGCAATGCAGGGTCGCTGAAACAAAGTGGGCACCAGTTCTACCCAGTGATCCGTGAAAGAAAGCCACGTGATGTTCTGGAGACCGCCAGATACTTGAAACACCACCTGCAGTTGGTGGCAGACCTCGTAGCAATGGCAGAGAAGACTTCCATGTGCAGGTGTGAGATGAAGGGAAAGAAGGCCACAAGAGTGATGTCTGGGCTGTGCAGCGAGGTGCAAGCTTGGATTCATAAGGATGCCGCAGAAATGCGCCCAAAAAAACCTGCGGAGCCGGCCGTTTCCGCGACCTCTGTGGAAGAGGTTTGGCTCAAAGTTCTAGAGGTCTGGGGCCACTTTGCACGCGAGCACCTTCCATACATGTTGAGGCCCGGGGGTTCGTTGGGTCACCAAGAGCCGACATAGCAGAGAGTCTAAGAGTCCAATAGAGCCTAACAGCCCTGTGAGTGAGCTCCTGCAGGAGGGGATTCGACCCGTCGGAGCTTCGGGACTTCTTGAATCAGAGTCAGCGACTGGGGTTTGGTGGCCCTGAACTTGTGTGGCTCCAGCGGGACCTCGTCAAAGCCAGGGCTGAATCACCGCCGAGCAGACGCTGAGACTGACGAATTCGGAGAAAGGAGCTGCATCCCAGTTCCCTCGTGTGTGGCCTTCCCCATTCTGGCTGCGCCCTTAGATAAGAGACGTTTGCATGGATCTTCTCCGTGCAATTTCCCGGCTTTGGAGTCGTGCTGATGTCCGGTACTTCATGGCGAAACCAGAGAGTGTTCTAGACTGACGAGATTCGAGCTTTGCTTCCTGTGTGCATCGCAGTGAAGGAGTCCTCGAGGCATAGGCAAAGTAGCAAAAGCCAGACAAGAAAGCACCGAGACCATCTGCACGTCTGGGCTGGAGGTTTTGTTCGAAAGAACTTCCCGAGCGAGAGCTCTAGGGAATGCACAGAGGCAAAGGCATGGCAAAGCCAAGCCGCAGCCAGAACTCGAATTGCCACAAGCTGCAAGACTCAACATCCATCCCACGGCATTCAAAGGCAAAAGCTGCTTGCGAGATCACTAAGACGGCTGCCCTGCAAACGCCAGGCCCGGCATGTTTGCAGCGATGTCGTGCGGGGCTCACTGTTTTTGTTACGATGTGGCCTGGGCGTTGGATGCTGGAATCCTCTTGTGTACTTCGAGGACAAACAAAGGCAAATTCCAGATTGAGACGCCGGAGGACTTCGACAGAAACGTGTGAGCGCGGCTTGCCTTCGCACTCCCGTAAACAAACCAATGAAAACCATGACAGGGCGGGACAGTTGCGTCCTTGAAGCCTTAATGCATATCCGTTATGGAATATCCATAGTGGCATGGATCTTACTGATTCGATTAGCTTTTATTTACTTGCAAGCGATTGCACAGAGGGTGCTCTGCGCATTAAGCTGATCAGGCGATTTGGTCCAATTTTCGTTCGCAGCAGTGCGATGTGCGATATGCGGCAGAGCAAAAGACGAAGGGCATGCCGCTGCCGGACCTGTACAGTGGTCAGCATCGAATTGGCTTCAAAGCTTAGGCAAGCAACCTCGTTGGGGCATGTGTCTGTGTGTGTACATGCTGCCAGGCCCGACCGTCGCCTGCAGGCAGTGTCTGTATCTTTGGCAACACTCCAGTGGCACATGTCGCTCTCGTAATGCGGATACAAGCTTCCCAGTTTCTGGCAGCTCCCCTTGTTTGCTCTTTTGGAAAGCTTCGACGACTCGGCCACTTGGCACATCCAGCTCCTTCAAAGATCCTGGGTGCTGGCACATGTTCCCACACATTGCTTGGGACTATCATCCGTACCAAGTAGACATCTTGGCTAGGTGCTTCTAGCGAGACCCACTAAAGAATCTATACCCATTCTTCTTGGGGAAAGAGATCTTCAAACGCCAGCACCTCGCTCCTGGCGCCATGCAGCCCAGCGGCCACGGCCATGGCCCTGGCCAGCCCTCCCCGGGAGGCCCGATGCGTCCGGGCCCGGCTCCGCCGGGGAGCGCCGGCGTCGGCGTTTGGCAGGTGCCGGCTCTGGTGTTCTGTGGGCCCGTGGGGCCTCAGATGGCACCCGTGAGCCCAGAAGGCTTCGTGGTTTGTGAGAATTGGGGACCCCAGGGGCGGCTTGGCTGCACGTGAAGTTCCGAAAGCATCTTCAGTGAAGCTCTGTTCTTTGAATACGAGTCAGGTTCACTCAATTCACACCGGCGCCTTTTCCGCAGCCCCAATCCTTTGATCACGGCATGGCGCAGTCCAGTGCAGCCACAGGTCCGGGCCATGAGCTTTCTTTAGAGTTTTCCGTATCAAGTTCTGATGGATGTCGCATCTTCAGAACGGCGGACATCAACTGAACCACCGCAACATGCCAAGCAGGTGTCATGCCAATGGCATGCATGCAGCGGCCCGGCTTTGACGGGTACCAGGAACAACACTTTGACGCCCAGTCGTCTTCAGGATGGCCTGCTGCAAAAGTGCCTTGGAACAGCAAGCTGACCGCGGCTATAGCCTGCTGGAGGGCATGGTGTCACGGACTCTTCAGGATTGGCAGGGTCAGCCTATGCCGACACCCAACTTTCAGCCAATGGGCTTCGTGGGCGTGGGACCATGTCCCGGCCCGATGCCGATGCCTATGGCCACTTAGCCACGACTTAGCAGCGACTCCACATGTTTTCGCTTCCATGGATGCGGCCGTCAGGAGATGGTTCAAGTACCCGTGCCGATGCCTCAAGAACCACCAAGTCAAAGCATGCCACCGCCACCGGATGTGGGTTTGAGGCGCTTCTTTTGACAGTCGTGGTGGTGGCTTCTTGTAGGCACAGCGCAGTTTTCGGATTTTCATCTGGCTATCGGTGCAGGCCATTTCGGCCTGCCAACCAGCAGCTTCCGTGGCGAAGAAACTTCCGAAGCATGCAAGCACGTCTTAACGTCGGGTTGATCGCCCACCCCTTGCAGCCATGATGAGCCAGGGTTCATGTGGGCTTTCAGCACCGCGCGAGCTCTCTGAGGATCTAGCGCTTCGAGCTCCCAATCTACCGCTTCTACCGGGCCAAGTGGCCCACAGAATTCTTGGAATGGAGGAGCACGGCTTTCACGGTACTGTGTGTCTGTCCTCGCGTGTGGATCCCCAGGATCCCCAGAGGAAGAGGGCCTGTCATTTGGACCCGGCCGCGGGGAAGAGCTACTTGTCCAGCCTGTCCTAAAGCCGAGCTCACGCATTGTCCCCATCAGCTCGATGCTCAGGCCATGCTATGGCGACGAGGGGCCTTGTGACTGCCGCTACTGTGAGCCCGGCGAGCACAGATCCAGACAGTCGAGGCGGGATCGGAGGTGTCTTGTGCTGCGAAGACTCGCCCTGCCGCCCTGCGGCGCCCTGTGCTAGGCACTGGCGCTCCGGCCTTCGGTCAAGTGACTTGTGGGAGGCACCGTTGCCCTGTGGGCTCCTTCCGTCGGATGTCTCGGAGCTCCTGTTCCGCGACATCGTGCCAGAGGACTCGGAACACATGTCCGGCAAAACCTAGACTCGTGCAAACTCCAAGATTGCAACCTTCAAATCTCAGCAGATCCGAATCACGAGGCACATCTGATCCCCATCCCCCAACCCTGGGGTTTTTCAACATGGCTAACTGAACCAGCCTGCGCCTGCAATGCCTTATGTCAGGAATACGCTTGAGTCACAATGGCGAATGCCATTTTGGCTTAAGCTGATTGTGTCCCGGCACGCGTATTTTCGAAACAACCTCTCTCTCTGTCGCTCGCCTTTGCTCGCCATGGCCGCACCAGCTACCCGCGCTCCCGCACTGCTATGGGGGATGGGTGCTCCTCCAAGATCCACTCGATCCAGTTTTGGAGGGACGAGCTCACCTGCCGGAGCACGCTCTCTCTGAGCTGGGGAAGACGATGTCACCGGCCCCGCAAACTCTGCCTGGACATGCGGCATTTGATCGAGACCAACAGGGACGAGATCTCCGCTATGCTGCTGTCCGAGCTGCCAGGCATTGCCTCGGACCACCAAAGGAAGCGGGGTCTGGGGTCCCAAGCATGGCAGAGGGAGAGAAGTTCGAGCCGGGCAGCATTGAGAGCAAGATCATCCGGTTCAAGCGTCTTTCGGGGAGCGGGGAATGTTCCAGATGCCTGGGAATGACCGAATGGCGAAACCGAGTGGATCATCCTCAAGGCGGACGTCACCAAGGCCCACCGCGGCATGAAGGTTCTACGCCGGGGATGGCGCTTCCTGTGGCGAAGTTGGGCGAGGAACAGTTTGTCAATAAAGTCGGCACCTATGGAATGGCAAGCTGTACTGGGGCCGGATGGCGGCTTGGCTGCTAAGGCTTCTCTACTCCCTCTTTCCGTCTATCGACTGGCAATTTGTCTTCGTGGCTGACTTCCTTTGGCTCCTTAGAGTCAGGGAATCGCGGCTGTTGGGGAACGCTATTCTTCTCACCCTGCTTGCTTTGGGATCCCCGCACTAAGCTGAAATAGACGCTGATGGCTCAGATCAATGCGTGGCTAGGTTTCGTAATAGATCCAGCAGTGCTTACGGTCCAGATGGCCCGGGACAAGCACTTGCTGAGTCATGCAACTGCTTGAGGATTTCATCCGGGGCGAGGTCTTCAGACTCCAGTGGGCCATGCTGCCCGATCACCAAGTCCTTGCTCCAGCCATTTTGAGCTTGGAAGATGGCACGCAAGACGTCGGGCAAGCCTGGTTCTCTGATCCGCTCGTTTGCGGCACTGCTTAGAGAGCTCTTCAGGGATCCCCACAAGCAGAATTCCCCCTTTGGGGCGGGGGGCTCAAGTGACGCGAGCGCCTCCGATACCGAACCATACATCGGATGCTGGTTGTCCATGGACTCCTGTGCGGACAAGTCCTGCGTCTTTTGGTTCCACTACAAGGTCGATGAGGAGCGCCACCCGTGGGCATTCATTCGTCCAAGGTTTTCCGAAACGCCGCATCGAGGTCCTAGGGATGCTTGGAACACTGGTCACGGCCTTCTCATTGAAAACTATGACCAGGACGAGCGCCTGCATCATTCCCCTCCTCTGGGACAACCAGGGAAACGTCTTCTCCCTCCTCGACAGCAAATCGAGGAAGATGCCTTCGGCGGCAGTCCTGCTTATGCTCCTACTACACCGCAAAAGCTGCACCCTGGCACCCTTTCACGTGAAACGGGACTTCAACCAATGGGCTGACGAACTTACGCATCCGGACTACCAGGGCTTCTCGCCGGATCATCGTCTCCGTGTTAGTCGCCTATTGAGAGGCTTGCACTTTCTTTTATTATAGTGCTGGAGTCTGATTCTTTATAGTTTTGGTACTCCCTCACCTACGGCCCGAGTGGTGCGCGGTGAGGCCCGAGAGTGTTCCCCCCTCGCTCGTTACGACGCGGGACTTTTCTCTCGCCAGGCACATCAGTGCTACACCGTTTTCTACTTGAACCTCTTGGAGGGGCCTGAGGCTTTGGGAGCCTTTAGCCCCGACTCGCTCGGGGGACCCTCTCGGATTGCCACCTTCACACTGTCGCTCGCAGTGACAAAAGGGAAGTGCAGGTGGTTACTCTCGGGTTCTGTTGTGCTCGTGTTTGCTGACATTATACTATGTAATTTCAGTCTCCTTCCCGGGAAACATAAGTGAAAGATTATGCTTTCACATACGCATGTGGGCAGTGCCCGCTTGGGTTTCTTTGCCGCGGAGATAGCTGACTTGTCTGGCCCAACGTGGGGAGCAGAACGGATTCGTCAAAAATGTTTGCAGGTCTGTTTACAACAGCGTAAAGCGACCCTGCATTGGTTTGCAGCTTTATTCGACTTGTGCTCACCGAATTGAAAAATGTGTTACAAAAGTTTGGGTGTTTGATGTTACGTCTTCTTTAAACAGGAGTTAAATGAGATTTTAATGCCGTGTTTTAGTTGTTTCAAAGATCTACGCGGAAAAATCTTCCGCACTTTCAAACAACTGTTCGGGGATTCCGCTGATGGCTCACGATGCCACTTTCGCAGACTGTTGGCAGGTATTCCTGCGAAAGGTGATTAACATATGTTGGCACGTTTGTTGAAGAACGTGATCGTAGAATGCAGTGTGCAAGCTACATGTTCGCTTCTTACAATCAGCGCCAGAAATTTGATCCAAGCGTATCCTGCAACCCTCGGACGGAACCATAACGCAGGAACCAGTTTCCACAAGTCTTTAAAACCCTGTTAGGTGCGGAATGGGGGTTGGATGTCCGATGCCTTCTGTTGAGCTTGCTCCAACCAATGTCGCTGTGTCCTACGCATTGCATCCACGCCTAGCACCCAGGCCTCGCAAGTCAAAGTTTCGTCATTGAAGAGAAGCTGTAGACGGTAGACATCAAACCTATATCCCACTCCACTCGGGCCCTCGTGTCCACGACAATCCGAGCGCTGAACTTGCTGCGAAGCTTGCATGTTTTGTGCTTGCGACCTCTTCAAGGACTACGAAATGCTACTGCAGTTGGATGATGCCGTGGAGAAGAGGGTGGCAAGCACAGAAGGCTTGGTTGTTTGAGACAGAACGCTGCACCGGGCAGCTGAAAGCAGAAACCTGTAATGCAATGGTGACATCACCCCAGCCCTGCTGTGCTACGCCGGGAGTCTCGGTGCAAGCACCTGTCGGAAGTCTTCGCTAGACGGGTCAGGGCTTAATGGGTTTAACCTGTGCAGGTGTGGATGCCTTGCCCAGTGCATCAGAGGAGGACTTCGCTGGACAGAACTGATGCTTGCCTTAAGACGTGACAAGTTGCAGTCGACTCTCTTTCGTTCCTTCACAGGGCAGTCTGTGATTCGTGAGGCACGGTATGCTTGGCAGCGCTGGAATGTCTTGATCCAAGCATTGTGTTCCGAAGCCACGAGTATCATGACATGATGATACGATGCTGGCGTGCCGGCCACATCTTGCGACCGTCTCCAAGGTGATGAGGACATTGCCAAGCTCCCATGCACTCACGTTTTCCATCGAAAATGTGTTGCCAAGTGGCTTACCGAGCAGAAGCGGGCTTGCCCTCTCTGCAACGAAGAGATTTGATTGCAACCGCTTGGCAACCGTCTCGGCTGAAAATGCCAGGCCTTGCAAGGCATTGCAAGGAAATTGCCGACATAACCTATCGAGAACTTCTCGTGATGGCTTCGTTATGATGCCTGAATCGGCAGCCTGTGTGCAGATCTTCGTGAGTTAACTAGATGTAGCTGTTAGCCATGGAACTCCTTACATTAGGTCTTGCAATCGACGGGCTTTGTCTTACGCCACATTGGTGGCAGATCTTGGAGTGTGCTTGGACAATGATTCAAACTCCAGGTTACGGAAAGACGTAGCCTTTTCTTGCCTTTTCTAGGCAAGGTTCGCCGGGCCGCAACCTGCCAGAAACTTCCATGCAGCTTGGAAAGACATCCGGACCCAGTTTGTCACCGGATCTGCTGGTGTGGATGGTGTTCTTCAACCGGACCGCTTGCATTGCAAGTGGCGTGTGCAAGTTGTGGCATATGCTGTGTGCTGAGCACAGCCATGCTTGCACCTGCATTGTAAACAGCTTCATGGCCATTTCTGACTGTATTTTTCAGTCAGGCAGTTGTTGTACATACGAAATCGATGGGAATCAGAGTGCTGTCCCAGACATAGCAACGTTCTGGGACTTGCCTGCATGCTTCGATGTGCCCTGCTCCGCCCTGTAGCTTGCACGATACCCCGACTCCACATTCTACATGTCTTAACCAAGGGCCACGTTACCACCGAGTTGTGTGTCAGCAAGAAGCACATCGGGGTGTTGCCACGACATGCACGGAGCACTCCATTTGCAGTTGCGTCCGGCTCTAAAAGACCTGAGCAGGCATTGCAACTCAAGGCCACAGTGAAGACCTTGAAAACGCTCCAGGCCACATCTACAGTTGATGGCTTGATTTTGGTTCTGCGGAGCCACTGCAGCCCCCGCAGCGTGCTCTGCTGCCAGTCGAATCAAGCCCCGAACAGGATTTAGAGTGCAATGTGCCAGAAGCAGTTGGCCGGGAAGACTTGCTGCTATGCTTCGACTGGCCGGTGTGTTGCACGGTTCCGAAGTCAGGGTGAAAGAGTGTTTCAAAGCAAGCATGGGGCACTGACGGGTTCTGTGCCTTCACACAATTTCCTGCATTCCTGTCCCGAAGCTTGCAGGAGCCGAGCAAGAAGGCAGCTCGCTCAAGTCTGGGCTTTGGACGAGGTGGAGCCTTTTAGCCGCCTAAAAGACCTCTCAGAGTCCTCGTTGAGGATTCGTCTTGCATGTATTCTGCCGGGATGGAACGATTCGGCGTGCCTTTGTGGATCCGGCCTTGTTGATCGACGAATGAAGCCTGATAACGGTCTGCACTTTGCCGGTTCGCAGAGAGACATGCCCCGATGCCCGACTCTCGATGATGGGGGCCTTTAAAAACTCGACTCCTGTTGCAAAGCGTTGTTGGACTGAAGACATGTAGGACAGACATGATGTGCAGTTTCTGCGTGTCCAGAAGACACTTTTCCTCACAGACTGCAAATGCAGCTTTCTGGAAATTCCACTTTGTCAGAGCAAGTCACTGGTGACATATTTGCAGGCTGTGCAAACGGTTTTGGATAGTAGGTCCCATGACCTATTAGATCTGCGCTCATGCCATGCGACTCGCAGAAATGGGATGCCCATTTACAGCCAGAGGGCAAGCCTAGACTGCGACTGCAATTGCCAAGTTCGCACTGATCCAGGATGATGCCGTTGGCGGTTAGCGGGCGGCTTAGGTTCTGGCAACTCTGTTGTCAAGTTGTCTTTGCCGGCACAAGATGCGCGATGACCGTTCCGTCGCGTATCGTCGCGTCTCAGGCCTTGGCATCTCGGAGCATGGAGGCATGCCTGTCCAGCAGTTGCCATCCAACCTCGTTCTGAAATTCTCGCATTGCAAGAACGTTCGGGTGAGACTTGCACGCATCTTTTTGGCAGCTGCCAAGTTTCACCACCGCCTGCTGCCTGTTCTAAGAACATGGTGCAGTCAATGAACTGTCTACGGCCTACGGCTTGACTCGTGGCCGATCTTTGTCACACGGGCTCATTTTCCATTGTCGCATGCAAAATTGCTGTCGCGAGCCGAAGTGATGGGAAGCTCATGACTCGACAGAGCATCGCCAGACTAAGGCGTTCCGGCTACGTTACCTCTTGTCTTGCCGGGCAGATTGCAGGGTGAAGCCTTCGGAGAGCAATCACAGTTCGTAGAAAGCTTAACCCTAAAACCGCGCTTCGCGCATCTTCGCGCTGCATCACTTCACGACTTGCAAGCAACTCGCTAGCCGCTTTAAGAATCGACTAAACCAAGCTAGGTCCAGTCTGCGTCACAGTGCGTCCACCGTCCAGTCTGCATGGCAGCACTCCACTGATGCCATGGTCGGGGCCCCACCGCCCAAGGCACCCGTCACCGCCGTAACCCGTTCGCTGATCGTTCGTCTAAATGCCACGTCGCTGTGAGCGCATCCGCGCATGGGGCTGCCAGGAGCACAACACCAGCAAAGTTCCAGCCTGGGAGGATGCACAGGCAGCTGCGGCTGTTGTGGCTGTTGTTGCACTGGTCGAGATGATTCGACAGAAACCTCTGACAGGAGTTGGTTGCACTCGACCGCCTGCGGTTTCAGCATTTGCACCGAGTGCTCTATGCCCACAGGCCCAGCCGCCGGACCAAACCGAGCAGACAGGTCTAAGCAGAGCTCTGAAATCTGCGAGGCAGCGAGTCGAAAATGCAAACTCCTATTATGATGCGCTGGGCTCGGTGGTTGAGACACTTGTCGGCCCAGCGATACCTTGGGGTCGTCACAGTTGTCCAACTTGTCTCTCCACTTGTTACTTGTTCCATTTGTCTTGTTTGTCTCCCGTGCTCATGAGAACTAGCCACTAGCTTAAATCCAAGATGTCAGGACATATCTTCAAGCTTCAGCCTCTGTCAAACTTGTGTACCGCAAGACCACCACTCCGTCCGGATTGGTTTCACAGGTGGAGAAGAACGTCTTGCTTAGATTGCTAGACGCAGTCGTAAGAGGCACACTCCGACCCAAGTCCGCACTCACTCGCAGCCGGGAAGCTTCATGACGGAGTGGAGCTAATTTGCCAACCGTTGCTGATGTATATACGAGGCAGACTGCATAGACAAAAATGCATGCAAAACTCGCGGGATGCGCGTGGCGAGCTGAGTGGCGGCTGTCTTGCGAGGTCTTCGAGACGGAAAGGCAGACCGGCGTGTTGCTCGCCCGTCTTTGGCCCGGTCGCTTTTGCTCAAAATCAGGGGCTGATGATTCGAGAACTTAGGCTCAGAGGCCATGCGGATCTCCAGGGCAAGGCGGAAGGAAGAGGAGTGGGCATGGGAAGATATCTTTTTCTCGCACACATCGCTTCGCTGCTCGCTGCAGCTAGGAAACCGACAGTCTCAATCGCGACAATCAGCGATTGGTCGAACGGCTGGGTGCTGTTGGAGCCCTAGTTCCGTGTCCAGCAAAATCCAGCAGACGACACGGAGCTCCATGCGCGACTGCTCAACACAGGGAGCACAGTGTGATGCGCGCAGGTGATGCGTGAGTCCGAGGGCCGACGGCGACAAATACTGGCGCCCAAGCCGCCGAGCTCTGCCCCAGCAGGCAAGGACCCAGTGCTCTCAGTGTGTGCAAGATGTACTAAGATGTACAGACTACACGCGGGGCTGCCTCTCGAGCTCCAGGTTCCTTGAACTTGACGTTGCGGCGCAAGGCTGCCCGACAAATTGACAAGGACGACAGCGAGGTGAATGAAGCAGTAGCAACGCTCAAGGCAGCCACGAATGTTGTAAATGAAGATACACTTGTAGCATTGCATTGTCCATGCTAAGGAGTGAGGACGTTCATGTAGGCCAATGCCTTCTTATGCCATCCTTGGTCCTGCCCTAACACTACCTGGGTGGCAGTCGCAGCATCAAGCAGCAATATTTGCTTGCTACCCGCTTCTCCAACCTCTTTGTTCGCAGGACAACAAAGTCCTTCTAGACAGACTGGTTCGTGCCGGGCTCAGCAGAGACTTTCACTAAGGCCAGGCTCATTCCCTTGTAGTCATGGATTTGGCAAGCTGCAGCGAGAGAGGGAGAGAGCGCAATATGGACCTGCGTTCCGGGCGGCCTCATGGAATCCATGAGTGTGCAAACGTCCGTGCCGATATCGCAAGCATGCACACTCTTTGTCAGTGTCGCTTTGATATGTGAGGCATTGGGCCAACAGTCAGCGGGCGTGCCGAACTTGCATCTCGATATGAGGCGTGAGAACCTTCATGAAGCCAGACATCAACATGTCACCGTCGAATCCTGCACCAGGTCTACACAACGCTGGTGAATAGGCCTGGCCGTATTACTTGGAAATGTCAGTGTACGCTGCCGGTACGCATGTTACCTGTCTTTACCGACCCGACCGGTGCTCGAAAAGCAGGTGTGTATAAAATGGGAATAAACTTGTGCGGCGGTTCCCAGCGAGCAGTTAAAGTGCAACGGATGTTGCCACAGGTATATAGTTTCATTGTGTCGTAAGAGAATTCCGGGGGCTGCACTTCTGGAAAGACAGGCTGATTTCGGGGGTGAAGAGGCCAGGAACTGCTCAAGTTGGCCTCGATGCTACAGCTTTGGGCACGCGTGTATTGAGCCGGGAAGGGCGGTGAAGCTCGGCGACAGTGTGTGTGGGAAGCAAGCATCAGTTGGGTCAATCTGCCGGCGCAGGCGGTAGGGGCGTGATACGCGTTGGAAGTTCCTCAAGAGCGTTTGACCGTTTGAATCGGTATTCAGACTGGTTTTCCATCGTGTTGAGAAGTTGTGTTGTTGCCCATAGCCTGTGTTGTGGTCACCCTGCCATCGATGTCGAGATTGAGGTGTTCGCCGGAGGTTGGCCATGGGCTGTCGTCCAGTCAACACGTGAACTTTTCTAGTGAACCATGCGTTTTTCTGGGAAGTGCTTTGACCACCGTCGAACTTCAGCGCCCATAAGGAACCCCAAGGTGCGTACGTACATGCATACCATTGCGTACCCCCTCCCCCCCTCCCAAAAGCCCTAGTCCCTAGCTCCCAGCACGCGCCCAGCGCCCCGAGCACCCAGAGCCCCTGCTGGACAGCAGGCGATCCTTCCGAGCGATCTCCCAACTCTCCATGTCGTGTTTCACGTGTGTAAAGATCCAGTTTTCCGGATCAGTGTCTCAATGAACGAACAGCGGCAAAGTCGCTAAACACATCGTCGATGTCACGCTCAGCACCTTGGACATGCCTTCGGTCAAACTCCTTGTCGTGGGGCCGCACGGCGCACACCATATCAAGCCACCGTGGAGTCACTGCATGGCTGCCGCACGGGTGTTGTTTTATTGTTCTGCTTTGTGGCTTCTGTTTGTTGATACTGTGGGCTCTGATAGGCTTCGTAGCTTTCACCTTGACCTTTATTCTGCAAAGACGAGGGATCTGCCCGGTATCCGGGCGCGTTCCGCTCTTGTCTTGCCACACCTCTCTTGTAGAACCAGCGCTTCATACCACTTTCCGTGAATCTCGACAGAAGGATACCTAAAACGTCCGACAACGGGATTTCGGGTGAAGGCAGTGTGCCTGTGTGTGTGTGAACTTCCCTAGCACATGGGAACGGAGGGTCACCCCTTTTGCAGTAGAAAGCAACACGACTATTGCGCATTCGGCAGGGAGCGAGAGCATGGATTGCTGCACTCCTGTTAAAACAGATGCCAGCTTTCCAGAGTGATGTGTTCCGGGACGCTGGAACATGTACCTGCAAATCAACCAGGCAGCTCCCTGAGGTGCCAAGATTAGGGAACAAGGACATGCCCCCTGTGGTGTCCAGCTCAGTTTTCACAACAACCATGACAGTTCACAACAAGCCCCAACCCACCCACCCGCCTCTGCTCGTCCTGACCTCTTCTCTGTGCCGAAATCCATCAGTGTGCTAAACTATGGTTTGAACATCTGCAGATTGATCATCTTCTGTTTCGTAAAGGGATGGTCAATGAGCTTGCAACATGCTACTTGACCTAAGCATGGAGTCATTAGTGTTTTCCGCCGGTTTCAGCCCGGAGTTTTCAGACTAGATTTGTGGCTGAGGGCGTCGCCCAACAGATACCATGGGATACTACCACTGAGGATACAACCCTCTGTTGCCTGTTGATGAGGCACTCCAGGCTTCGACGCACAGTCAGCAAGGCAGACGTTTTCAGGACCTGCTTGACACGAACATGGCGTGTGAGAGAACGCAGCGAGTGCAATCACGAGTAGCGGAAGCAGACGAAAGAGAATTCGGCAACAAAGGCAATCAATTGCACTCAACCGAGTCTCGTCGAGGCGGTGCTGGTTTGGAAGCTGATTATCTGACAGGTTCGTTCGGCTGGAGAACGATGTACATAAGCAAAGGAAGGAACACAAACAGCGGCTGGCATGACAGAAGGGCAATCAAACAAGACTTGGTCAAACTCCAGGTCACTGCTGTTCGGGATTGTGCAGGACACCGCCGCCGCCCATCAGGCAGCCTCGCTTTCGAAAGCCAAAGCGAGCTACAGCAGAGGCGTCGCCGAGAAAAGAGCGGTGCCGTGGCCTTGAAGAGACGATGGCGTTTTCAGGCGCCTCTTCTACCCCTTCCAGCCGTCGTCAAATCCGCCAAGGAGGCCCCACCATTTCAGGTAGTAAGGTTGTCTGGGGCCTGGAGTCCTGTGCCGCAATTTCAGCTAGCACGCCAGCTCGCAGAAGGAGCCAGCTCCTGATGCACGGCCGGAAACTCCGGAGCCGCTGCACAGCGCGCGGAAGGCTCCGGCAGACCTTGTAAGCACGTGAGTTGCACGATGTTGGTCTGAGCCGTCGAGGCGGCGCAGAAAGAAGTGGAACTCGTGGGTCAGCATGTGTTGAACAAGCTTGCTCCCGAAGATCTGGATGGCAATGCTGATGCTTCAGGCACTGTAATCACTGTAATGGCTGTGTCATTTCTTCTATATCGCAGCTCCCACTTCCTGCAGCCTTAGGCACTGGATTGCATTGTAAGGTACCCAGAAGACGCGCGCAGATACGGTGGGAAGCGGCACATACTCTGAGTATGACTTCGACAGCGAGGCAGACCCTGCATCCATGCGAGAGAGGGTAGCGCCTGCGCGCAGGGGTTGTGGGGGGAACCCCACGCCCCAAACGCCCAGCAAGCAAGCAAGCAAGAGAGCCACCGACCCCCATGCCCGGGAGAGAGAGAGAGAGAGAGAGAGCCCTGGCGAAAGAAAGAAAGAAAGAAAGAAAGAGAGAGCAGTTGTTGGCAATACGCTGCCAGCAAGCGCACAGAACAGGCAACAGCCTTAGTCTACATGACGAGGCCGGGGATAGGCAGTTCTACAATCCAATTAGGGGGTTTTCACAGTTGCATTCCCGTGGCCTCATCATGTCCTCAACCGACTCAAACGACAAGAACCGGGGCGCGTGCGCGCGAGAGGTGGGCAGGGACCTGCTCTCCTTTGGCTGTGCAGAAGAAGAGCAGCTATTGCATCCTACACCGGAGGCAACTCAGCCACGCAAGGTAGGAGGGATAGCATGCCAAGATGTGGGGACGAAGCTCTGACCTTCTGCCGCGCCTGATGCAGCGATCGCGGCCTGAGCCAGCATGTGAAAACACTGTGGAGCTTGTTGTTGCCGTAGAGGGAGCTCAGCCGACAGCAGAGGGGGAAATCACGAATCGTGCCAGTGCTGTGAGCGTTGTCCCTGACGCCTGAGACCCAGAAATGCTCGGGGGCCCAGGCAGACCGCACTGAAGCTGGAGTAATTGCTTTGTATGGCGCTCGCATGGGGGATGTCTGTGAGTGTTGGTGAAGTCAAGCTGTTGTGTTACTTGGCCGTGGCCTCTGGCTGGCAGACACAAGGCACTCACACACCGCAGGGGCTTAGTCTTCAGGCGGGTGCGGGGTATCTAGGTTTTGGGGGGCTGGAGTCGGAAAGCCGGCGAGTGCGTCTGCATCTTTCTCAGTGTCCGAAGCCCGGTGCGCGGAAAGGAGCCGGGGCCGCTCTTGCTTAAGAGAGCGCGCCCGAGTGAGCTGTCCGTGGGGGACCGACAATCAGCCCATCATCGAGCGGTGGCGTGAACGCCGCACAGGGGCGCTCCCCTAAGCCCTATGCGAGAAAGAAACAGTACACGCTCGCGTGCGGCAGGGTGACGAGCCATTCTTGTCTGTGTGAAAAAAAGCCCTGGCAGAGAGAGAGCGAGATAGGCAGAGAAAGAGACTGGTTCTCGAATGTCTGGAAGTTGACGTGCCGGTGAACGGATGCCACAGTTGGCAGGACGCGGATGCCCGGAGCGGAACACCGGAGCCAAAGCGATCTGCCAAGCAGGCGTGACTTTTTCCAGTCACGTCCTATCACACCTTGCTCCCCACTCCCGTCTTCGCTTGAGGCGGCCCAGAACGAGCTGGAGCTGGTCGAGAAGAAGGTGCTTCAAAAGATCCACTCGGAAGGAGCTGTCGGCGAGGTCGTCGCAAGCGGTGCAGCCGCAGCCGACGCCGCCGCCGCAGATCCAGGCATCTTTCTTCACAAGAGTTCTGCCGATGAACATGCTTCTCTCTTTGTGCACTGGTTGACGTCTCTCAACTTGCAGATCCTGGGAAGGCGCATCATTCAATGCTGGCGGAACATACTCAGACTTCGAAGGAAGCGATGGCGAGGCACGACTTCACGACTTGAAGTACTCGTGCTAACAGAGACTCAGAGCTCCACCGATGGTCAACACCAAGGCGCGAGCCGCCGCAGAATCGCAGGGAGAGGCGCCCGCGAGCCTGAGCCACACGCCGCTGATCCTTTGAGTAGTCCTGCCGTCCTGTAGCAGGACTCTGAGTATGAGGATGATTGCGAAGCGGAGGATGCCTACAGTGATACTTTCGAGGTTGAAGATGCAGATGAAGAGGCTGAAGAGGCTGAGAGTGAGGCTAACAGCCCCCCCGGCAACATTGCCGGTAACATCATCGGCAACATCGTTGGCAGCGTTTCAGCCACAGCCGATCCCCAAGAGAGAGGCGCCGCAACAGGCCACGCGATCAGCGAGCCTTCGGACTCCGCCAGCCGGTACTCGGAGCCGGAAGAGGCTCCGATTGCCGAGGCCGAGGAGCCCGAGTCCGAATACTCGGAAAATCTCGAGGCAGAGGTCTCCGAGTCCGACAGGGACAGCCCGGACAGGCAGGATGGAGACGGTCGCTACTACACCCCCAGCGACGCATCTGATCCGGATGCTGGCGTCGATGCGCGTCAGAGCTTCCTGGCTGTTTCGACGCAGAGTGCACCAGCGTTCTCGGGGTAACAGTAGCCACGGACAGTGTGATACAGCCTGACCCCAGGCTCCATCGCTAGTTATGACGACGACGGCATTCTCGAGGAGGACTCAGGTGAGCTGCGAGCTGAGCACTGCCGTGGATCGGCACAGATGGTTTATCTCCCAGACTCGTTGCGTTTGCAGCGCTTTCAAGCTATTTCAGGTCCCTGCATCCACCAGGAAGGTCTGATTGATGTGCAGCTGAAGTAGGTCTGTGGGTTCTTGCTTGTCGAAGGCGTTCACCTGGGTAGCAGGACAGGACACTGTTTCACGTAGTTGTTTTCGCGGTTATGCAGGCGCATGGGAAGTGTGCGATGCTTTTTAGCGTTTCGTTTCCGAAAACCGGAAGAACGGACTCCACAGCCCTGGCAGCTGACTGTGTTCGCCCTGAGTTACATGCAGTCTACACTGTATGGCTACGTGCATCGGGTGATCGCAGAGCTCCTGACTCGTGCCTCTCACACATCTGCAAAATGTCCGGAAACAAGGGCTGCAGAACCACCAGACTCAAATTGCCCGAAAGAGGGGCTGGGTGGTGGCATGTTGGAGATATGGGTCAGGCGGCGCCGTGTCGGTGTTATCTCTTGCAAGGAAAAGCTCATGATGCCAGCTGATCCGAAGCTATCTGACGTACATCTGCCGTGTTCCGCACAATGCATCAACACAGATGACGACGGGCGTAGTTTGGCTTCAAATCATGAACTTGAAGCAGTGCAGCCGAGACCCACTGGTCCACAATGGAAAACCGTGGATGATGAGTAATTAGTCTTGGATGAGGCGCAACTGATCCGAGACAGAACGGCAATTCGTCTTGCGCTAGAGTGCGAAGCTAGCAACCAACCCTGTTCCCAAGATCCTGCTCTCCACAGTTCGTTTGCATGGTCTCTGCGCGCCAATTTCTACTGGGTGCCCTGTTGGCATTGGGGCTGTCAACCAGTGCAGAAGATCCTGGCTTGTTGGCAGAGGCTGGAGCGGCTGGAGGTTTTTGTGGCGTATTGACCCGAGCTCTGGTGCAGGTCGCGCGTCTCAAAGCCGAAGTCGAGCGCCTCAAGGCACTGTCCGCGGTTGCCTTGCGGTCTCCTTGCCGGTTTGCTCCACCCGCGGGCCTGCCTGAGCAAAGCTTCATATCCTCTTGGATGTCGGCATCGCTCGCCATTTTGTCTCGAGCCTCTCAATTGGAGAATTACATCTTGCCAGAACTCTTTCGGTGAAATTTGTCGCGATGCCCTTAACCTGCTCACAAGCAATGGCACACCGCCGCTCTGACAGTCTGACGATGGGATGAGCTGCAGGACACCCCAATCAGTGCATGACGATAATGACCATCATCACGCATCATCATGTTCAGATACCTTGGCCCAGACGATGAGAATCGATAGAGTGCTGCACCGCTACATCAACGCATGGCTTGCCTTCGACTAAGTTGATTGTTTTGCTGCCTGTTTCGCGGTCTGCTTTTTTTGAAATGCTTGACTTGAGACCCTCGGCAGCATGTTGGGCGCCATTGATTCCTCTTTGAACCTTCAGCGGGCATGGGCTCGAGCCTTGTGCCTGTAGCGAACTGCTGTCTGCCCTGCAACCCCTTGGGGCAGAGTCCAAGATGGGAAAACCCGATACCAATGCCTTGGACTTTGGCTTGACTCCATCAGCGACCGGGGCCACGCCGACCATCCTCGCACAGCCACAGTATGCACCTCCGACAAAGAGCGACTTGTCTTGGACACTCTTCATGATCTATGCGTGCAGCTTCTTGGAGGGTGCAGACGTTCAACTTCTCCCAGCATCCTACCGGGCCATTGAATCAGAGCTTGGGCTTTCGCCCAGCACCTTGGCAGCCGCGAACCTGTTCCAGGGCATTACCCTAGCAGGCTTCTCAGTTTTCTGGGGCGTGCTCTCCGACAACGGCATCCTTGCTCCCCATCAAATTCTCTACGGAGGTTGCACGGCATGGGGCATCTTGACACTCTTAACAGCCGCGATTAACGACACAAGCTGGATCCTTATCATCAGGCTCTTCAATGGTGTCGCGTTGGCAACTCTTTCTCCTACCACGCAGTCCTTGATCGCCAGCGTAGCCCCACCACAGGAGCGAGGTCGCTACTTCTGCTGGCTCGGCTTCATGCTTGGCCTTGGCGCGATGTTTACAGCAATCATGACGACAGCGATCTCTAACATGGTTTTCTATCCTGGCATCAAAGGATGGCGCGTGGCATTCGCAGTCATCGGTGTGGTGAGTGTTGTTCTTGGGCAATTTGTTAAACGCTTCGCCGTGCTCCCAGCTGATCTGGCGCACTGGGAAGAGAAGATTGATAAGGAGAAGAACGAGCCAGAGACGCCCGGTCAAGAGCCTTTGAGCTTCACCAACGAGCTGAAGACGATGATGCGCTTCTTCGAGGCAAGCGCTTTTTTTCCTTGCAACTCACATTGATAGAAGTTTGAAGCTGTCGCACCCGTGAAGGTATGGTCGTTTTCTGTCATCGTTCTCCAGGGCTCTTTCGGATGCATCCCTTGGTCTGCCATGGCCTTCGGGACAATGTTCCTGCAGTACAGTGGCGTTTCCGATCTCACCGCAGGGTGCATCTCCAGCGTCATGCTCTTGTGCTCGTCCTTTGGAGTGTTGATTGGCGGATATGTCGGGGACTACATGAATAGGTCCGGTGCTCAGAAGGGAAGAGGCGCCCGCCACTCGCTCTCTGATTGTCCTCTTTTGTTTACCAGAGGTGGAGCCGATTTCATGGCCGGCCCTTCACTGCTCAGATCGCGACTGGAGTCGCCGTTCCCACAGCCGTCATCTTCTACGCTCTCTTGCCACGCAATCCTGATCCACGACAGAATCTGGCAGACGACCCAAATGTGCGTAAGCTAAGCTGTGCCTCAGGGGCCTCATGCCTAATAGCTCGAGGGTCCCTGCTTCATCCGCAATCTCAGGACAGTGTGGGAGCTTGGTTCATTCTCGTGATAGTCTTCGGCCTCGTGTGCACCTGGTCGGAGTTCGGCGTGAACCGACCTATTTTGACGGAGGTCGTTTCCGTGAAGCATCGGGCTAGGCTGGGACGATGCTCGAAGATGCAAGTGACAGGAGTCTTTCATGAGGGTGTCTGCATCTTGGTCTTGACAGGATTCTGGGAGTGATGTGTGCCATTGCCGGCTCTGCTGGAGCGATGGGTGGGCCTTTAGTCGCCCTCATCTCCGAGCAGTGGTTTGGCTACAAGACACAGCACCGTCCTCTGAGCGAAGTGCCCGAGGACCAGAATTGGGCGAAAGAGCAGTAAACGGTCTCTGTAGCCTCTAGCCTGAAGTGGCGATGGAAACACAAGCCCCTGGCCCTACTCCGTTACACCGGAACGGGCAGGCCTCCATGCAACACTCGCATCACTGGAAGTATGAATACTTCTCACTGCACCGGTGCCAACATGCAATGGAGACTCGATTGAAGCCAGTACCAGACATCCGACATGCAGGACATCCGCAGGCATAACGTGAATGCATTGGGACTGGGTCTCACCGTGATGCGCTTTGGTAGCATTTTGTGACGGTTTCGGCTATCCAGCTTCGGTGAAAGCAGCTAGCCTCGTGATTTCAGGTGCGCAGTGCCGTGGACCATCTGTTTCCTTGCCTACGGCGCACTACATTGGACCTATGAGGCTGATCTGTCCAAACTTCACCGCTTCGATGTGCAGACACCTCTGAACTCGAAGAGGGCAGGGTCGGATGATGAAGAATGGCTTCATGAACCGCCCTTTTGGGTTGGTGGCAGTCCATAATGACCTGCTGGAATCGGCAGCAGGCTTGTTTCGCGCCACTCTGGAGACCGAAATGCCTGTCGAAGGCGAGTGTATGTTTTCGTGTCAATATCTTCAATCTTCACCTAAGCTGGCAAGCTTGCCCTGTGCTCACTGCGTGAAATGAGAGCTTGTGTCTTCTTTCCCGGAAGGTGTCGCAGAAGAAGCATAACTCCTTTGTCGTTCCTTAAGTTTGCACAGACTGCTCACAATCCGAGGCTGCCGAAAACGAATGGTGAGCGGCGTCTGAACTTCCCACGGCTGAGTTTTCTGTGGGCAAGAAAAGGACGCGAGCTGTCCGGGCTGCAAAACCTTGCAAGCTACACGTAAAAGTCAACGGCGCAAGGAGGGACTTTCACTACTCTCCGATTCCTGTGCAGGCTACACAAGCTCCAAATCCTCCGCAACAGTTCGGGCCGAGAACCTAACCTTGCCGTGTAGAAGTCAGTGACTAGCTGGCTGGAGTATGGTCGAGGTATGGCCAGGCTGGCCAGGCATACGGACACCAGGCCGCAGGGACCGGTCAACCCACACCGGTCCACCCGGGCTTCCAGGGCCCAGGGCCCTATGGCCAAGGCGGTGCGTACAGCTTCGGGCAGCCTCAGCAAGCCCACGGAGCCTCGTATGGCCAGCAGCCCGGCTACGGCCAGGCATACAGTCAGCAGGCATACGGCCAACAACCGGCATACAGCCAGCAGCAGGCCTACAGCCAGCAGCAGGCATACAGCCCGCAGCAGGCTTACAGCCAGCAGGCCTACGGCCAGCAGGCCTACGGCCAGCAGCCGGCATATGGCCAGCCAGCGCAGTACCAGGCACAAGGCTATGCGGGGCAGAATTACGCTTTCAATCAGCCCTAGACTTGGAGAATGTCTTGTGGGCACGGTACTCAGTGCAGGGAACTTGTGGCGTTTTCGGCTCCAAGGCCCGAGCAGGTGCAGCGATCAGCCGCGGAACAGCTGGAGGCGATGTGCGGATCATGTGCGGATCATGCCAAACGCCAGTAGGAGCAGATCCCGGAAGGCACTCCGGCAGTCGTTCGGAAGCCTTGGCACATCCCCATCTGCCACTTTGACGACATCTCCAGGTGAGCACGCACAAAGTTGAGGAGCAGAGTTGTTCATCCTCTTTGTTTTCGCACGCGATGCCAGTACATGACCATCCACCTTTGCTTATCCCTGTTGCGGGGATGGCTTTGGGTCTGCATTGAGTCAGTTGCTTGTCTGGGTGGGCCATGCGAGAGCGAGAGCCCGCGTGTTCGCTAGCTCGTCTGTGTCTGGAAACGCCGCATTTTGTGGTGCTTGTGGGCTCCTGTGTTTGTGCTGACTCGTGCACTAGCTCAGCTCCACTTCTCCGGTTCTGGCTGGATCGTGTTTGACGATGTTGCGGGTTCAGGCTTGCACACGCAGCTTTATTTGCTCTGTTTCTGTACTACTCGGCCTCCTGCTTGGGTTTCCAAAAGTCGTCGCTGCAAGCGGCTAGCTCGCATGCCGCCCGTGCCAGCTCCGATGGCCGATGCTTGCGCCTCCAATCCCCTCTTTGCAAAGTTGCCGCGAGCCCACAAGCTGTCGCTGGGTTTGTTCCAAAGAGCAGTGTTAGCCGTGTCCAGCTGAAGGCACAGTGCGCTTCAGAAGCTCGCCCTTCTAGAGCAGGACCCTGTCGAGGCACTGCTGGTTCCTTCTGCACAGCGTCGTGGGCTGATCTTGCGAAGTTCTGCGAAGCCAGGCATCGTATCAGATTCACGAGGCATGGGAAGAGCCCTGGGCTTTGCTCTGCTGTCTCTCAAGAGTCGAGCACAGAGCTGGAACGTGATTGCACTTCCAAGGAACCCGGGATTGTTTGATGCATGCCCGGCTGGGGTGGTGACAGCTTTAGTATATCTTTCCATAGCTCAGGACCGGCACCCCGCTTTGGTTGCTAATGATCTCGGTCACTTCAAGCTGCAGGACAGAGACTGGAAGTACCGACTTCTTCACCGAGCCTGGCCACTCAGAGCTGCCTGAAAACAACAGGTCCTCAACTCTTTGACCTGCCCTATCAGCGAGCTCCTGATATCAGTTGGTTGCCCCGCATCCTCGTCATGGGGAAGTGCTGTTCTCATTGTCACTCATGCTTTTTGTTACTGTGCTATACTGTACTCTGGCAGCTCAACAGTGTGGCGTCACCTGGAGTGGAAGACGGGATGCCAGATTTGTCTGGGATTTGCAGCTGCACAGCAAGACTATATCGCTGGCTAGCCCTCACGAGTTGATGTTTTCGGTGCTCCTTTCGTCCTCCTGATTTAGCATTCGTCGAAACACATTCGGGCCGAGCCGGTGCGATCATAAAAAGGGCAATGTCCTCAAAAGCAAGCTTTGTGCAGCAGCACTGCGTGGCACCGTGGGTGTGGGAAGACGCGCATGTGCACAGCACCCCTGCTGTTGCTGCGATGGGACCTTGGGGCGACCCCGACTGTGCACCTGGAAAGAACGGACATCTGTCGTAGAATGTGGCAAAAGCACAGCATTCTGCGGGCTGCACGGTGAGCACAGCGAGACAGAGGTTTGTAAGGAAGGTAGCATCCCAGCAAACCGGAGTGTCCCTACCATTGATTTCCGAGTCAGAATCTGCACATGCATTGCTAGCCGGAGAAGCCGGATGGTCCAATATCTGTGATCCGCTTTTGCGACTAGCATCGAGGTCGAGTGAACTCGCTGAGTGTAAGCCAGTCCTGGTGACAAATACACGAAGACGAAACCACGTGGGAAGTGAAACGAGAAGCCTGCCAAATCCTTCGTTGCTAAGGCCACCTACATGCTCTATGCAACGCCCGGGCTCATGTCCAAGATGGCCGTGCCCTCTGAATGACAAGTACGATGGTGAAATGCGACACAGCTCGGGAGTACTTGCTAGCTGGGATACTCAGAGACGTCAACCACGAGCCACCAGTGACTGTGGCCGAGTAATCGCATTTGCAAGGAGTCCGGCCGCTGGCCGATGTCGGATAGGCAGGATCTGCCGGAAGTGCGGCATTGGCTCAATCAAGCTGCGGTGTGATGTGGCAGGCTGATTAGAACCATGTACCACAACTCCGAAGTGCTGCTCAAAGTCACAGGGAGGGCCATCCATCGCTTGTAGGTGGAGGCCAGACTGAGCCCTGCCGCCGAGGTTCTGGGTAAGCAGCCCTTAAAACTGGCTGAAGTTGAGGCCTGGTTTTTGCTTGGAACGAATCAAGGCCGAAGGGCGGTGCTTCGCGGCTTAGCGTCTGCAGGTGCAGCCTGGTCAAACAGCAGCCTCTCCGGCCAGGAGCCTCAGAAGTTTGGTAGCTGAGGGCTGTCAGGGCTCAGCTCCGAGGCAGATACTGGTATGGGCGAGGCCGTGGACCTCGGGATGAGGCCCTCCGTTCTTCTCTCGCAGAAGGCTGCGTGCCGCTGCTCCGGGCCTTGCCCTCTTCAGACATCGGGACTCCGTGGCGGTTCATTTCACCACCGTCCTGTTCTATCATTTCTACCATCAGGACGGGTCGTGTCGACACGCGGCAGCTTGTGAGTTTAGGGGTTATGGGATTTGAGCATGACATTGCATCATCCGCCTTTTCGGTGTTGAGCTGTTCATTGCTCCGTGCAGGAGTGCTTGCTGCGCACATTCATGCAAACGTGATGTGCCCACATGGAGACATGCACGTGCGAAGCCGCCGATACTTGATAACAGTAGCGGCCACCCGCAAGCATGATGATTTCTGTTTCAGGGCTCTCGAGACTGTTCGATGCATCTTCGAGATGGAGCTTGCCGGGTGTGCTGAGAGTCCCAATCCTCATCAGCATTTCCCCGATGCTAGTCTCTTTGGGTCGATGCAATGCCCCAGTCTAGACCTTCCAGCATTTTGATATATTTTGATACCATATAGCAGCAACGGCATGGCAAATCTTCCGGCGTTCGTCGCTCTCTGGAACACTAGAAAGCCATGGCTGTTGCAGCAAGTGCTGATTTAACACAGCAGCGAAGTCTGGATGATTTTTGCGTGGACGAGGAGCGATCCCCATGTGCGTGCCGCACGCGCTCTTGGTGTTTGCCGTTCTGGACGAGGCATCCTGCTTTGTAGGGTCGGTTGGTACAGGAGTCTCAGGACCGAAGATGGAGCATGTGGTAGAGCATAATGAGTCGTACTAGCCGAGCGTCCCCCTCCTTACGCCCACACACGGAGATAAACGCACACACCACACAGACGGAGAGCACAGCGAGAGAGAGTTGAACCAGCGTCAGACGAAGTATGACATCGGCTACAACTGTCGCGTGCAGGTATGTGACCAACAGCTCAGTCGATGTGTGGCTCGCGGCCCGTGATGAGCAGAAGACGTGTGCGCCTTAGGTGCTGGAGTTGTCGCTTGAGTAGGGAGAGCCGTTACAAGGCTCTATCGGATGGACCGCAGCGGATGCCTTCGCAACTCTGGGCACAGGTAGGGCTCATGGCGAGTGACTAGAACTGACTGGAAAGACTGCTGCTGCCCAGTTTGGCATCAAATTACTTTGCGGAGCCCATTGACCTGATGTTTGTCTTCGAAATCAACGCTTTGATGCCACGTGCTCGGGTCCTGCGCAAGTTTCAACGGATGCTCTACCAGGGAGTTTTCAACAAGGCTGTTGCATATTCGACTAAGTTTCAAAGGCATCCCATGACGCGGGTGATGCCGGCACGCCGGGTTCTGCTATACCCGACGTTTGGGCCTAAACCAGAATCAGCTATGATGCTGAGGCACATCTTGGGGCTCGTGTGAGACGTCCGATGCGCGTTTCATGCTTAGGTACGATTTGTCAGATGATCAAATCTCGAATTTCGAGGATCCCATGCTTGGCACTGCAATGTTCTGCATAATTGGATTGAACTTTGCCACTTGCTTCACCACATTGGCCAGGACCTTGGCGTTTCTGTGCTGCCAGATGATGCCGCTGGAGCCTCTGTGACCGTGGAGCAATCACCGTCCGCATCAGCTTCGAACCAAGATCCTGAAGCCGCCGAATCCATCGTTTAGAAAGACGCTGGATGAGGTGGCCATGGCCGAACAGGAGTCTGTGCTTTCGCAGCTGCTCTGCGCAGGCCATTATGCAGAGACAGAGGCGCCTTCAGAGACCCAAGGTGCAAAGCGCGCTTCGGAGATGGGATTTGCACCAAGCTCTTTCGTTGGACCGTCGAAGGACAAGTTGCTGATTTTCCCCGCAGATATCCGGCCAAAGACCTAGATAGAGTCACCACAGCAAGTTCGAAGTGACAGCGTGTCTTCCAGGCCGATCAAGAGGCAGCTGGACTTCCTCTCGGGGCTGCTCTTCGAAGGGGCCGGCGTCTCGTGGTGGCATGTGGTGGCCCTTGGGGAAGCTCTGGGCGCCAGGCCAGGAAGCCATCCGCCGTCCAGCGCCTGTACGGAACTAAGAACCCCTACCTAGAAGTGCTTGCTATTGCTTTTGATTGCTTGCTGCTTCAGCTCAGCCCGAGCTGCCCGAGCTCCGGAGGCGCGGGCTCACGATCGTCGTGGCCGGCGGCTGCGACGGGAACCAGACCTACTGCAATGAGGCCATGGCTGCCCTGACACACAGAGATAGAGAGCGACGCCCACCTGCGGGGCGCCTTGAGCGCGGGGGTGGGGGAAAAGAAAGAGAGCGGCACGTGCGACGTAAGTCCTTTGTCTGTGATGAAGAAGAGTCTCCCGGAGGTCTCGCCTCTTTAATACTGATGGTTCCTGGGCCTTCTCAATGTCCTGCCACGGGAAGAAGCAACTTCAGCATGTGGCAGGGTTTGGGTAGGCTGTGAGATGCTCTTTTCCGAACCTGCGCCTTTTTGTGGTGGAACGGCGCGACGACTCGCCACATGTCCTGCAGAAGGTCGTGACGCTGACGCAGAAGATCAATGCGGAGAAGCTGCTCAACGTCGTCGTGGCGGACCAGCTAAAGGAGTCGATCTCTCCGCTCTTTCCCCTTCTCTCTCTCTCTCTCTCTCTCTCTCTCTCTCTGGTTCTCTCTCTTGTGTTCTTTGAAGGACGAGGAGCTTGCACAGCTTTTCACGGCTTCCTTGGGAATTGCGAGCTTCTCGAGAGATGTTGCTACGTGCATGTTGGGCTGCCTACTCTGCCGTCGAGCTGGAGGTCATGCATTCGGTGATTGACTGCAACCCTCGAGTGATCTACGAGGCAGTTCCTGCAACACCAGCGTACCGGAAGAAGTCACACCCTGTCGCTGCACAGACTGGCAATCTGCAAGCGTGTCAGGGGCTGGTCACCGACACCCCCTTCTACGTCACAGAGTCCACCCGCTTGCCGCCTTTGGTCCAACACCTCGGCCAGACCCTTGACAGATGGGACTGTGAGATTGATTGGCGGTGCAGTGTGGCGACCAGGTCACGTCACAGACGGAGACCCAGCAATGGTTGCCGAGCGGCGACTTGGCAACTGAAGCACTGCCCAGCGCCATACCACGGCCTGCATCGGTTTCTGGCAGCAGGTTGGCAGACTTTGTTGAGCTTTGCGAGGCCAAGTTTTTCACTCAGCAGGCAAGGGACCCTTTTCCATTGTACAGCCGTGAGGCTGGCGGCTTTACAGGCCGTCCAAGAGAGTTTGCTCGTAGGCACTTGACCGAGGCGGGCACGGTGCAAGGTCTTTCGGTCAGCCCTTTCAATTACACGTTACTGTGTTGTACAGGCTGATATCTACAGGAAAATGGTAGAGTGGATGGATCAGAAGCGCCATCCTCGGCACTTCATGCGATCAGCGAAATGCTGTGGATCAGGGCATCTTTAGCAGGTGGAGTTTTCAAAGAAGGTGACGGATTTGCATCAGTAGGTGTCGGTCAGGTATCTGAGTGGCGTAGAGTCTCAGCCCATCATCCGCGGGGAGGCATCGTTGCTTGGCGGAAACTCAATGTGCACTAGTACTCGAGTTGTGTGCAGGAAGCTCTCGACAGCTTCGGCGGTGGCCTGGGCAACATCCTGGGAGGCGCTACAAGCTCCATGGGGCCCATGGGGTGATGGCTTTAAAGTGATTGCTTTAAAGTGGCGCTTACGAGAGAGCAAGGAGCTGGCCTCGGGGGTCTTGGCGGCCTTGGGGCGATGGGAGGCGTGGTCACAGATGCAGTGGTGATTCTGCGCCTGACTGCCTGACTCTCCGTGTTTTCAGGTGGGACTGCCGCGAAAGGTGGAGCATTCGGAGGAGGGGTTTCGCCTTCGACCCCATTTCAGCCATTGCGCACAGCTACAAGAGACTCATCGGAAGCTGCACTGGAAATCGGGTTTCCATCAGGGACTGGAGACTGGAGAGATAATGAGATGTTCTAGGTGCGCTTCTGGTTGGAACGATTGGCAGACGCCAGGTGCTGCCGGCGCAGGCTTCTCCATCAAGGCTGAGTATGCAGTCTTCACAACTATGTCTGTGTTTGATCGCACGATGTTCGCACTTATGGTCCCGAAACTCAGCGCAGGAGCCAGTGCGGCGGTAGCAGCTTCCAGCCTCTCTCTTTCGTGATGCTGTGGAGGGGTGCAGTGCAGCGTGGAGAGTGGAGGCAACAAATACATGCATTCACAATATGCACAAGCCTGTAGTTTAGTCCGAAGAAAACCCGCGCACAAAATGTTGACATGGTTTAACGAGTAGGTTAGGATGTCCGCCGCAAGTGCCGGACATGTGCGCAGAAAAGAGCCCGATACAGCACTGCTTCCCTGTGATAGGTCTGAGGGCGGCGCAGCACCACTACCACAAATGCATGCTTGAACAGAAGCTGCTTCAGCGTCTGCGTAGCCCCTTCGACAAAGCGCCTTTGCAATGTGGCGCCCAGATCCAGGACCCTGCGTCGTCTGGAGCTGAGACCACGTGGCACTCCCCACACGAGAAAAGTTTGTGGAACGCAGAGCCGAGAAACGAAAGGCACAGGTGGCCGACTGGGGCGAGCATCCAGACGACGTTGAGTGCCCTGCCCTGCCCCGAGCCGAGAGGTCCGTCGTCCTTCGTCCTGTGAGGTACATCCGGCAGCTGAAGGCCCTGCCAAAGAAGATTCTGAAGAGGCCCAGAGCGCAGAGCTCGTATCTGTGGCATGGGCCATGTCAATGGGCTGGATGCAAGTGGCTGTGCGTGCAGGCGTGAGATAGTTGCCAAGGACTCTTGCCTGAAACGGAAGCTGTCGTCATTCGGACGCTGACTCTCAGACTGACACCAGGACTTGGACATAAAGCGAGTTTGCCAGAAGCAGGGAAAGGTGCGGCGGGACATGTTTGGTACTGGTACTGCGATGCCTTTTCTGTTGTCCAGGTCCACTTTTCCGTTGCCTGCTGGAATTTGTCAGAGTACTCTCGCAGTGGCGGTCTAGATGCTCAGGTGCAGACTTGTTTTGCGTGCTGTTCGAGTCTTGCATCAGCACTGAAGTGCTCCGTGCAGGTTTCCAGCCTGATTCACGTCTTCTATGAGGGAAAGGATGAGCGTAAGGCCGCATCAGGTCCTAGATCGCACGGAAGCTTGGTCAGCTCTCTATTCTCTCTTGTAGGTTCTGAACGTGTTCTCTTCTGCCGGCATTGACCTTGAGCCGACAGCTTACTGCCTGAACCGACTCTCTCTCTCTCTCACTCACTGTGCCGCTGCAACCGGACCGAGGTCTGCTGAGGCAGTGCCGGTGGATCCAAACTCGAGTTGGGGCCCTGGAAGCTGCAAGAAATCTAAGTCCACTCGCAGATGCGAGCTGGACTGTTCGTTGCTGAGGCAAACGCCACGAGCAGCAGATCATGTACGCCAAGGAGTGTCTGTACATTCAGGAGTGCGCCGGCCTGCTCTTCATGCAAAGCGTCTCCTTTTGGTGGAGGGCACACAGACTGCGAGGACGAAAACACATGGGAAGAAGGACAGCCGTTATCCCCCGACGAAGTCAAGCAGAGGCCTCCAAGCATCGTAATCCTGACAATTGCAAATTCATGCTCGTCGCATGTGGCACGGGCAGGTTCCAGGGCCGCATGAAGGCATAGAGTCGGACATCACCTGAGGCACATGTCATGGACGTGTCTGGGGATGCATACACATTTGTGTCGAAGCCTGCCCCATAGGCTAAAGAGCACTAAGCCAGATAATGAAGCCCTTCACTGCTTCGTAGACTCAATTCTGGTCCTTACGGCCCAAGTTCGACAACAGAAGTGTGAGCACGGTATGAACTCGCCCTGAAGCAGCTCTCGGATTCTTCCGAATGCACGGCCTGGAAAAAGACTCGCTGCTTCCATGATCGCTTTAGGCATGTGGCATGCATCCAGGAAGTAGGAGACCCCCCACGGCATGTCGCAAGGGTTGGGCTCTGAGAGCAAAAAGCAATACCTTAGTGTCTGAACATGAGGACACGAGGACATCCAGCACTTGTCGGGGTCAGTACACATTGTTGACTGGGTTGCCTTGCCGCCCTCTTGCCCTCATGGAGCTCCTTGACAAGATCGTTCTGGACTCAGACTGGCCTCAGCTTGGTGCAAGCATGCTTGCACCATGCCCTTGTTGGGTCGGTGAACTATTGCCCATCGGCAGCCTTGTACAGCAGCCGAGGCGATCTATGTTGCCATCATCACACCCCTCATCATGGTGTCCAAGCCCATTCTACCGAAGGCCCGGTACCTCACGTGAATTCTGCCAGCAGATTCATTGAACAAGATCTCAGCTGTGCGAACCTTACAGCCTTAAAGGTCTTCTGACAGCAGACTGACATGTGCTCATATTACGGAAAGTTTGGCAGTGCCTGCTGCTTTCACCGGTCTCAGCACTTGTCGCTGGCCGAACCCGTGTCAGGTGGTCTGGGGATATGACTTTCTGCCCCAAATGGCGTGTCATATGCCGGGACTTCAGTAAGGCACATGCACAGGATGCTGGCAAGCTTTGCAGCAGCACTTGCACCAAGATACGGGTGCTTCTCACAAGCCAGTCGAGCTTCCAGGTGGTCCTTCGTGATTGCTTGCTTCATCCTGTTGCACAGCGGCGGGGAGGAATGGATGGAATCTTGGTTGAATTGGATCCTAAGCACAGGTGCAAAACAACTTGAGGGTGCAAACGGGACAACAACGCTTCCGGTGCTTCGCTGTGCGCATCTTATCTAGTTCATAGCGAAGAGAGCGAAACATACGGCCTAGTTACGCTTGCACGTAATTTTGCTGAAATAATTAAATAGTCATAGGTCATGGGACAATCTCATGACAATCTCACCAGCAACTCGAGGCGTTTATTTCCTTTGCCTCAGCAATGTTGATCGTGGGAAGCTCGGTGTTCATTTTACTGCGGGGTCCCAGCGGATGTCCATGATTTTTTGTTTAGCAGGTCGCCAACTTGGCGACCATGGGATTCTCCCTGGACCTGTCTGCTCCGGCAGTCCTCCTCCGAGCTACATTACATGTCAGTACATGTTGCCACAGTTCTTGGTGGAAATGCTTGGCTGCCTCTGCATGGCATTCTCGCTCCGCTTAGGTCGCCTTGCTCTGGGAGTTCAACTACCTGCTGGAGCGCTTTCAGCCTGAATCTCAATCGGAAAACCACTAGATGTGTGCCTGGGCGGCCGCTTGACAGCTGTCTTGCACTCAGGTAGCGGGCCGTGAGTTCTCACGCACTGAATTGTTTGCTATAATACTGGGGACGAGCCTCCAATTTTCGCGACTTGAAGGCATAGGCAGTGGTGCCATGGTGTGAGTTTCCCCCTAATCTGGTGGTCTGCCGGCAGAGCCCTGTAGAGTGCGCGCATATGTGCCTTCGAGACGGCAAGGCCATGGGCCTCAGACGTGTACGGAGGTTTCGGCTAAGAAGCGTATTGAGCATCCTCATCTCGACAGCACGTGTGAGCCGATTGTCTCGGGCGGGAAAACAGCAGTCCGCGCGCTTGACCTGTCTGTCACAGAATGTCACACAGAATTGTACGACTTGAATCATTGAGTTGGTGCAACGACATTACAAGCTTGACTTCGCCTCTCTCAAGGTGCTTACATCAGAGACAGGATTTTGAATTGGATGTACAGTGCAGGCTCTTTGCCAGACTCGGTTGTTTCGAGTAGCGTCAAACAGGGGAGGGTGCGCTCACAGCAAACATGGAGCTGGTGGACAAGATGGCCGCCCTGCTCAGACGCATGGAGTCTGTCCAACGCACTAAGACCGGAGACTGCCCTCGAAATGCATGCGAGGCGATCTATGTCTTGGTGATTACACCACTCATCATGCTGTCCAAGCCTATTCTGCCCAAGGCATGCTGCGCGGTGCTAGCAGTATATGTTGTATAACTTTATAGCAGAAGCAGATGAGGGTGTGAGACAGACGGAAAGGCAGTTGGAGCGGGGGGTAGGGGGTCCCCTGCTGCTGTTTTGTGTGTGGAAGAAGCGCTTGTTAGCTTACGGTTCATCACAGGTTGTTTGGGGATACGACTTCCTGCCCCAGATGGCCTGCCACATGTCAGGTGCCGAGCACCCGTAGCAACGCAACAGATGCATGCAATTGCTTGAGAGCTTCGCGGGCCTGGTTGCTGCTTGGTACACCTGCAACAGATCAGGTGGTCCTTCGTCATCGCTTGTTTTATCCTGCTGCACAGCGGAGATGATTACATGGAGTCTCGCCTGCAAGTTCTGAGTGCTGCTGCGAGCCGGCTTTACATGAGAGGTGACCCAAGCAGCAATGGAGTCACGAGTTGCAGTCCTCTTAGCAGCCTCTGCCATTCCAGAGTTGAGGCCCTGATCTCTTTTGCCTCGGCTATGCTAATTGCCTTGACCTCAGAAGGTCTGATCTCAGCTTAAACACAATCCAAGTGATACTCTTTGTAGCCCCACCTCCTGGTTCCTGTAAGCCTCCGTTGGACATGCAAGAACGAGGTCGCAAATTTGGCCACCATGGGATTCTCCTTGGACTTGTCCGCCCCAGCAGCTAGCAGCCTAAGAGCCTGAGAGCTGCCTTGGTTCCCTTTGTGGCCCCTCGGTTTCGACCGAGGTGGCACTCCTCTGGGAGTTTTGCTACCTGATGAACCGCTTCCAGCAGCTGCCGTAGTGCTGCGCAAGTCTGGAGTGGCCATCTAGTTTCGTTTGTCACCACGCTGGGCCTGAGGTGACATAGATGCTGTGGTTGACAGCGCCTGAGAACTGACCAGCGGACTCCAGAACTTGGAGAATTTTCTGGCCAACGCACACTTAAGTTTTCACTTGCTGCAATTCTGAAATAAAGTATCGGCGGAAGTGGCAATGATGCTATGTCCTATGTTCATATCCATGAAGATTTACAGGTGAATCCTCGATAATATGGATGGGTTTCATCTTGCTTGGCCTGGGCCTCGGGATGCCTCTTCTTAGACACTATTGAAGAGGGTACCTGCCGATGCTTACGAAATCGATTGATATCGATTGTCATTCAGCGAAGCCAACCCTCATATCCGGGAAAAAGAATTAGTAATTGGTATTCGCTTCCGGCATGCCCACATATCGACTGCATGAAATAGAATCGCTACTAAAATATTATAGTACAAACAAAAATTGAGAATTAAATAATATTAGAAGAATTATGTTCGATAGAACCTATATATGCGATTCTTATTATTACAAACATGGAAGACTAGATTTTAATTATATCATGATAAATATGTAAAAAATAGTACCTGTATTTTAGAAGAATTAAAATAATTAGAGATTCGAGAGTATACGCCAATAAAAGGTTACGGGCTCGGCTGCGTTTCGCTTCTGCGGCCACTTCTTTGGGTGTCCTGCTTCTTTTTGGCGGCCTTTTGGCCTTGCATGTGCGCAAGAGAGGAGATTCCAGAAAATCTCCGGGATTTTTGCCCTTCTCGCCTGGATTTTTTACGAATCCCCGAACGCAAAAATTCCCGATTCTAAACAAGCCTAAATGTAAGTGTCTCTCCGTGTGTCTGTGTGTGTGTGTGTGCGTGTCTGTCTGTGTGTGGGTGTCGGCGTGGAGGGCGGTCTCTATGTGCGTATGCGTGTCTTGGGTCCGTTTATGCGCCTCTCTATATGTCTGTCTGTGCTTTTGTCTATGGCTGTGTTTGTGTGTTTGTGTATGTCTATAATTTATTTGTGCGTTTATTTGTATTTATTTCTCGTTCTATTTGTATTTATCTCTGTGTTTGTCGTTATGATTTGTCGTGTGTTTGTCTTTTTATTATTTATTTCTCTCTCTTTTTGTGTTTGTCTTTATTTGATTGGTCTTATTTATTTGATTCTGGTTATTTGTTTTATTGTTTGCTTGTTTTTGTGAACATGATTAGTCTAATTATATATATTTGTCTATATTTGTCTATTTGTGGATACTTGATTAATTTTTATTTGCTTGATTTCTTATTGTATGTTAGGTATATGATATATTTATTTACCTCTTATTTATGTATTGGTTTATCTATTTGAACTATATTATTTATTTGTTTATTTGTTTGTAATTAAGAAGAAAGATCGGAAAAAACATAAGTAGTTAGGTAGATAAATAGATAGATGGATAAATAGATAGGTAGATGAATAGATTAATTAAATAATTTCGGATCTTGTCCGACTATTTCTTATCTATTTCTCTGTCTATTCGCCAATCTGCTTCTTTGACTTATGGTTGTTTATATGTACGTATTTATTTGCCCGTCTATCCTGTTCGTGTATATATTTAGCTATTTATGTATTTGTTAGTGCCTGTGCGGGCATATAGGATTTGATTCTAGGTAGGATATTTCTTGAATTTTTCTGAGTATATATATATATGAATCTATATGAGCGATAATTTCAAAAATCGTCGATAGAATCGACGGATTTTCTAAATTGAATAGATTTAATAAAGAAAATCTATCATGATTGTAATATTATCTTTAATATTATTCTAATATCTATTATCTTTATTAATATTGGAAAGATATTATATAATTTCTAATTATTCGATAATATTGAGAATAGTAGAAATATGATAGTAATAATATTATAAGATAATTAGTTTTATATTATCCAATAATGATATTTGGATATATAATTTATATTCTAACTTATTTATTTATATATGAATATATTAGAAGAATTAGAAAATTGACATAAATAAAATCGAATTAAATAAATTTAAAATCATAATAAAATATATTTATTAATTCGATAATTATCTATTAATTCGATCATTTCTTAATTTTGTTTTGAAAAAGTAGAAAGTCTAAAAATATTAATTCTTTAATATTGACCTTATATATCTAAATCTCTCTCGATTATTCTATAAGAAAAAAATTAAATTTAATCGATATTTCTAGATAGATGCCTCAATATAATAAATTCGAGATTTCCAAATTAATTTTAATTTCTTTCGACATTCTTTTTTTGTGATTGCTTTAAATAGCCGACATTTTCCAGAAAAGAAATATAAGAAAATTAAACATAAACTCACAATACCGCTCTCCGTATATCTAAGAAATCTTCCGACAACGAAAATGTGCCTTCATCTATTTTACAAACGAATCATCTAAGAGAAATCATATGAATAATTTATATGGGTATAATAAATATTCTAATTATTAATTTTCTTTATGTCTCCCATTTTAATAATTCAACAAATATTTTTCGAAAATATATCGAATAATAATAATAATTAGAAGATTCATAAAATATTTCTATATTAATTATCAAAACTAGTACGTTTATTTTATTTTAAATATATGAAGAATTTCTATTTATTTAATTATTTTGGTCTTTATAAAAACTCCTTAATAATATAGAATATTCTAAATATTTCTATCGATTATATTCATATATATCTAATAATATTTCGAATACCTTGTCAAGAAAATAACCAAAAAATAAAATATATTTTCGAGCTAATCTTATAATCTCTCCAAACCGAAGTCACCGACCAATAAATATCAACAATTTTGCGAATAGATATCAAAAGAAGAGAAAATAAAATTCAAAATCATACGAATAATTAATAAAATAGACTTCAAATAATTAAAATCAAGATAAAAATCAAGAATTTTCGATAAAAATAAAAGATCAAATCTTTCGAATAAATATCAAGAAAATAAAAGAAAACTAAAATCTTGCGAAGCATCAAAGAAATACGATTCTATCAAAATCAAAAATATTTCTTCATTTTCTATAAAATCAAATTTGAAATTTCATAATATATTCAGAAATCATCTCTAAAGACAATAGAAATATTTTCTAATAATTTTAACTTAATGTTAGTCCCCAGACTATTTCTATTATGTATATTAATATCTTTATTAATAATATTAAGGTATATATGACCGTTGTTAGAGTACCTCTATCGAAAATCTTAAAGTCCGCGGCCGTAATCGGTAGCCTACAGAGATCTGGATAGTCAAGGGGCGCAAGCTATAAATCGGAATTTCATATTCCCGCAATTCAAGCGCGACTTCTAAGCAAAACGTCTCTTCTGAAAGAGGGTCATGATTGTCATCAGGGTGTGGACAGGTGATAACCATACCAGCCATGACCGGGAGCGCGCATGCGTCGTCGGCGCCGGCATCGGTCACAAAAGCCTCTGTGGTTGTGATTTCCATCTCACCGGCGGCGCCGACAACCGCCATCACGCCGCTATCAACGATAACATCGCTGGCTGCATGATCGTGCCCTGGCATCTGCAGGAGGGCGTTCTGCTTTTCTCTGTCTGTCGCGGAAGTGCAAGCTGCTGTGGTAGCGCTGCAACTGCGCCGCAAAATCCTTTAGCCCGTCACTGTCACCACCCACAACTGGAAAACGCTGAGTGCGATTGGGTTCCGCATGTTCACTGGCATCGCAAGCTGCAACAGGAGAACCTGCAAGAGAAATGGCTGCCATAGTCGTGATAGGTGAAACCATCCATTCCAGATCTTCCCGACCTTCGGGGGTCTCTGAAAAACACGACACCATCGATGGCCTCTGCGGTCTGATAAGCAGCAGTGCATCCAATCCACTGAGCAAAGCTTCATGGAGCGGGTCAGGCGGGTCGCGAGGCGAGCAGTTCAAGGCTTTGGATGGGCACACCCAATTTGTCACGCAATCGATGGACATATAATCCAAGAAACTTGCAAACTTCCTCACTGGCTTGCGATCTCAAATCTAACCTAATTATCTCTGAACCTTCCGATCCCTCGCATCTCCTACACTGCACGTGGATCTCCGAGATCGCACCCCGAAATGAATGTCGTCTTCAGGGCCTAGAACTTCTCCATGCGGAAAGCAAACTGCCCTACGAAGAGATCTCGAGATACTGACCAGGCTTGTGCAACACATCCCATGTCTATTGAGATCGAGAGAGCTCCGTTTCGGTCCTGTAGACTGATCCTATGTTCCTGCTTCGTACCATTTCTTCTTCGAGATGGTTAGAGTATAATTTTCTTAATCAGCCGGCTGGAGATTTATGATGCCTTACACAAGCAGACCAGTGGCTTTTTTCCGGTCAAAAGCAAGCCTGAGCTTGTTGAAGCTCTGTTGCTCGAGCATTCTCCGCAATGATGCTCCGAAGTTAATTTCGGCACGGCGGGTGCATTTGCCTGGAATCGTGCAGGGTCCATACACTTCAGCTTTTGAGGTCAAGGCTTTGGTCCGCTGCAGCCCAGCATGCAACCTGTGCAAGCTGAAATGCGGCCTTCTTTGTGGCCGGGCTGGACTGGTAATCAATTTTGGGCCTCCTTCACAGATTGGAATTGCAGTCGGTGTTGCATGGGCACTTCAATTGGCAGCGGTTCGTGCCTCATGGCCTCATGGCATGGGCAGCCAGTGGCTGCTGCACGCTACTCAAGGGGTGCAGGACGCACTTTAGCGCACCATGCCCATTCAAGGTTCGTGCAGCTACCACTGGCTGTCGAAGCTCAAACTTTCAGCCGCACGGCCCTTCCAATCCACGCACAAAGGCCAGCTACGCTCTGAGCTCCGAACGCAACTATGCAGCTCACATGGATAAGGAATTGGTGGCGGTGGCAGGCGAAACCAATCGAGGCGCCTTGGTCTTATGCGCTTCACTACTCTTCTTCTTCTCACGCCGGTGCTTTCAGAATCAAGCTTTGCAACATGCCATGTCAATGCGACACCCGGATCGATGAGATTAGCACCACAGCTTGCTGCGGCAGTCGACATCCGAATTGAGCCTTGCAGACCATGACGGGGGCTGGCATCGCATCTCTCGAAAACGAAACTACGTTCTGGCGTGAAAATAAGGAGCAGGGATGGAGGTGAAAGGGACATTCCGGCTATGCTGGTGTGTATGGCGTGTCCTCTTCTAGAAGAGAAGCAGAGCATCGGGTGAAGCTTGAGGGATCTGAAACCTCCGGCCAACATGCTGCTGGAGCTGCAGCTTCTGCATTACTGCCCGGTGGTCAACCTCTTGTCTTACATGGTGTCAGGCAGCCACAGGAGCTGATGCCACCCCAGGAAATGAAGTTACCTGAGAGTGCGGGAGCGTCACGGGGTCATTGCTCCCTGCCAGGCGCATTCGCCTGGGGGGAAGCCGGCCGCATTGCCGTCAGCACCTGCGCCAAGCGAGCATTTCGCATTCCATACGCAATCGTTGCACCCAAGGCCCCCAAGGCCTGGGGAGGCGAAAGGGCCCGCTGCTGAGGCGCCTCCGGTCGTATTGCAGCAGCGCGAAGTGCGACACTGCCTTTATGTGGACCCGTCCTGTATTGGAGACACAGCCCGCGGAGCGGAAACGACCTGCAAAGAGAAGTTGAACTGTCTGGAAACTCTCTCGAACACTGTGATCCGCACCCGGTATGGGGAGCTGCTGCGGCCCGGTAAAGCCTGAAACGGGAGTGATCAGAGCAACATGACTTTCTGGGTGAACTGGTGGTTCGTGCTCCGGCAGTGGTGATGTGTAGCTCAGGCTCAGGGAAGGCTTCTCCGAGACATCGAAACGTTGCAGAGAGGTTCGAGATGTGGTGCTTGGGAAGCTTCGGGTGTGAGAAAGGTTGGGATCTCGACATCAGTGGAATCATGGGCCAACGTCGCAACCGCAAGGCCGGAGTGTTTAAGGTGAACTCAGGATCAGTGTCTAGTACTCGTGCTGCTCGGGCTCGCGACGTTCAGGGGCTCCTGGGTTTTGTTTAGTAAATGCTTCGCTGCATCAAGGCCACAAAGGTCTGTTGCTATGCCTGCCGAGCGGTCTTGCAATCTTGTTGTACGTCGTTCAACCTGAAGCATCGAAATGTCAAACTCCAAAAGTGCAGAACTCATGTCCTACCCCTTTAGACCCGAAACACTCATAAACCTGCTGGTGCACACCTGCTGGAGGTTTGCCGGCGGCGGCCATGCGAATGCCGCAGAGCCTGGCCTTTGCAGGAGCGATGAGAATTAACACAGAGGAGCCGTAGTCAGAGTCAGGACAATAAGGACTGGTACTCAAGAAGCAAACATAAATTCATTATGATTATCATACATTCTATTGCTTCGAAGGCTTGCTTTTGGTGATCTGCCCCTGCTAGCTTTGCCCTTGATCTCATGGCATCCCTCGATTGGAACGAAGCACCGCAGCACCACACAGCCACCTCCAACACTCGGACCGATGTTGTGCAAATTCTACTCAATCCGTGCATCCAAACCCCTCAGGCACATAACAAACAGTAGCAGTAGTCCATGCCCGGTAGGTAGTGACCGGTAGTGGACATAAGCATTGCGATTCGGCTCGCGATGGGCAGCCGAGAGCCGCGCGTGCCGAAAGGGCTTGTGGAGCGCGGCGAGCCGGGCGGCGACATGCCTCTTAGTCTTGCAAGTTCAATGATTCGACTCAGTTCCCGGAACGAGCCCAAGTGGGCAGTCGCGGGCCTAGCCGTTCTGTCTGAGTCGACATCCTTCGGGAAACAACAGAGGAACCTTCATCGAGTCTCCTACAGTACATGACCGCGCGGGCCGCCAAGCACATCTTCCCAGAAGGACTTCCAGCTGGCTGGACTGAGGGTCGTTGGTCAAGTCCTCTGCGCAGGACGCAAGGACGGGGCAGCAGAGGAGGGTGTGCCGTAGCCGCCGTCGCCTGCCACCAAGGCGAATTGAATTGTGCGTGTGGCTAGCAGCATAATGGCCACTCCAGTGAAGCCCATGCTGTACGGACATGTCACTGCAGACGCCTGTGCGTCCAGACTCCAAAATCTAAGATGGGCTCCCGGCCCCCCAAGATGAATCTGACAGCGTGAATCAGTTGGAAGTGCCCAATGGTGCGCTTCTCCAAACAACCGGTGCATAAACATTCCTTTCAGTCCAGCTCTCGTGGATCGTGGAACACTCTTCACCTTTCCGGCCTGCTGCGGATGATGGCACGCCCTGCATCTGAAAACCGTGCTCAGTCACGTGGTCGTGTGCCCATCGTCTGCTTTCTCAGGGACTCTGGGTTGACTTTGACCGAAGCTGCTGGTGGTAACGAGTGAGCTCACAATGGCTTACCGCCGCATCCACTAGCCACAGCTTCAACTGTTCCTTTGCAACTGTCCATCAGGGAACCGAACACCAGCGACCCCAATTCACGCAGTCATGCGCGAGTCGATCCCTGCAACCTTCCTCATGTTAGGAAGAGGCTCTCAGAATGCGGCAAAATCTGGGCTCGCGGCTCCGGCGGATCGGCGAGGAGGACTCCTCGAGTCTTCGAAGGAACCGAAGTCTCGTTCCAACATCGACACGCTCTGCAGTCTTTGCGCGGGCTTCGAGGATTCAAGCTCAAGCCCAAGAGTTTGGATCTCCTCGCATCACCATTCGCTCTCCGAGACTGTGGGCTTGGCGAGCCTTGGACCGGGATTTTGCGCAGTACCCTGGCTTGTGGAAGTGCTTCTGCTTGTGAGATGTCGTCATCCAACTTCATTTCCGGTCTTGAGCGTCTGAACGGCATCCGAAACGGACTTTGTGCGAAATCAGGGACTGTGAAAGCTGCCGTCTCTTTAACGCCATGTCATGTCACGTTGTTGATTGTTTACTCCTGCTGTTCTAGAGGGAAAATCCACGAGTCTTGGCTTGCCGTGTTTATTACAAGGCAACTTCTCGACTTGAGGACGGGCTTCAGCACCGCACTCATGGTGTTGTTAAATTATGCCATTATGCTTGACACACTGACAGGTGTTCGCCTCAGCTACAGCAGTCACAGCCTTCTCACAGAAGAGCCTGCCCAAGTTTCGGACGGCTGTCACCACGCCCGGACTTAAAGGTGAGATCGACAAGCTGCTTCGGACCTGCTTTTGCCCACAATCTCTTGGAAGGACATGAAGCCCTCAAGCAGATTGGCTCATTCTCTCCCCTCGACCCTCGATGCCGCTTGGCTATGTAGTCGTCTCGGCGTCTCAAAATGCAGCATTGCAAAGACGTGCTGCACCATCTTTCTCAATCTACTGTCGCCATCAGCCTAGTTTGACTTGGGAGGCCCTTCCTAACGCCAGCTGGCCGGATGCAGTGCAAAGCCGGCAGCAACACGATCTTGCAACCCAGCTTTCAGTCTGAGACTCAATCGTGGACCTACATCCTTCCTCCTACTTGCGCTGTTAGCCTTCATCTAGACATGCGGCTGGGGCTTCTAGTTGTGTCGCACTTAAACGGAGTCTTGCTCGCGGCTGGCACAGATCACGAATGGAAAGCTGATGTTGTGCCGCTGAAGTGTTGAGATCCTCCTTTGATCTATTCCATTTGGACCGTGGTCCTTCCGGTGATTCGGAATGTCTCTCGTGGTGGGTTCTCATCGACCATCTCTCCAACTCTGCTGCTCTGCGGCGTTTCGTCGCATGTCCTGGGCCCGGATAGGCTCTCGTTTTTCATGCGCAGCTCCAGCCCGTGACCATGCAGGAGAAACGACCACGACGGATGGAAACACCGAACTACACCGAAGAAACTACCGAGGCCATCAAGCATATAAGCCCGATCTTGTCACGTCACGTGTGTGCTGCAGTCTCAAACCTGCGGACCATTCGCATGACCCGGATTCAGGGGATCCATTTTCACAAAGAGGCATGGCAACGTGCTCTCACAACCCGGCACTGCGCTGCACTGCTTCATCTCTTCCCTCGGCCCGCTTGTAGCGCCTGTGTAGACGCTCAGCGGCAGGCTAAAGAGAAACTGTGGCTCTGGTGGCTTTAGCCTGGCAGGCTGTGGTGCCCATGTCAGACACTTTCGCGTCCGGGTATCATGAGATTCTGGTGGGGCCTTGTTCAAAGAGCTTTGGTGGACATGTCTTGCAAGTCCTTCAAAGATCCTTCTTCGGCCTGCCTGTACTCTGGCACAGATGTGCACGTCCGCAAGGCAGCAGCGCTGTGGGCCGACGTGTAGCTCCTCTGCTTGTCAGTCTCGGGCAAGAATCAGGCTACAGTGTCCCAGGTCCGACAAGCGTTCGGCTCGCAGGCCACCCTGAGGGGCTCCTCATCGAGGAAGCCGGTGAAGTGGGCCGCGAATGGCGCTGGCGCATTCGCGTGGGCCGCTGCCTGGAGCCGCAAGAGAGAAGCCTAAACAGCAATCATCTCCTGCTTCACTCGACATTTGTCATCAGCTTTTGAGATGTCCTTGGCATGCCACCATATTCAACTCAGTCTTTCCGAAGACTGCCGATATGGACTTCGGCTATGTCACCGGAATGAAAGCCCAACTACAGGATCCTGCTTTTGAACTGACTTTTCGCATCCTGGCCCTCTAGGACTCTAGGCGGCATCAGAAAGTCAAACGAACCCGTTTTGAGAATTCGACTTACGGCACCCTTTTGTCAACGCCCGACTCTGACTCCTCTCTCATGCTGCGGACAAAGGCACTCGGACTCGGGTGCCTCTGCAGAAGGCCTAGTCCGCCTGCTCAGCCACGAATTCGTTTCGGGCATATGGACAATACCGTAGCCAGTGCAGTAGTCGCCTCGACATGAATCTACCCTCATGGCAGATTTCTGCAAGCGCCCGGCAAGTGTCGAATGGCCTCTGGATGGGAGACTTCGTGCCGACTTTCGGCCTGACAGACCCACAGAACGCTCCGTTTTCGACGAAAACGAAAAGCAAAATCAATGTCGCCTCGGCCGCTTGTCAACCGTGCCCGCTGCACGCTGCTGGGGCACCTAGCAAGTCTGTTTGCCATGCTTCTGTTCGCAACCCCTTGGTGCACGTGAACATCCAGCAATGGGTCAGCCTTTTCATCTTCCTGGGCGATCTCGTTGCGGAGGCGGGCCAAACGAGCCCGCACCTGGGCATTACACAAAGGTAGAGATACCATGTCTCAGCCTGCGTTTCGCCCGAAAGTGGAGCTTACAATGTGGGTGGCTGTCTAGATTGTACCGGACTTCGAAGTTGAACTGGAACTTCCAACCTTGTGGGGATTGCCAAGGCTGATTCATCTCAGAGATCCGAGGCACTTCCTGGGCGGCCTCTGTGACCACAGCCTCGTGGACGGAGGCGGCCTGCGGCGCCACGTTTCCTCTACCCTTGGAAACCACGACTGGTTGCTCCATTCCTTGTGATCCATACAGCAGTGTGCTCTCCCCCTCCACATCAGCGCCTGAACCGGAGGTTGCCAGCTTATGAGGCGTTGCTGTTGCTGCTGCTGCGGGGCGTCTTGCACCTCGAAAGGCTGCGCCGGTTAAACCAGAAGCAAGGGAAGAAAGGCAAATGCAGCCCCCGGCCTTGACAGCTTGCGCCTGCACCGCTGGAGTCGCTCCCTGACAGCAGGAAATTCCTACCCTTCGTGTGGCGTGACATACTTGTGCCGCACTTGTGCCGACCTCCAAAAAAGGCTACACCGTAGCACGCATGAAACAAGCTGCAGCCAGTACACACCCCGTGAGAACGGGCGGTGTCGCGGCATGTTATGGCCAAGCTTGGACAGATCCCCTCTGGTGCAGTGCGACCTGGTGCATGAGACGCAACCGCAGCTCGGCAGCTTCGGCACGGTTCCGCGCCACCTTCACTGAGGCAACGCTACGACACACCATGTGCTTTTGTTTCTCGCCTGCGCCTACTGCGGAAGCAACTGCTGAATCACTTGGGGAGGAGATTCGTTGTGCAAAGTCTGCAGAGCAAGATTTGCCCGAGAGGAGGTGATCTGAACATATCTGAACACTACTGCTAAAGTGTGACACATGACATTACTTGATGTCTACTGACTTCCTGTGGTCTGTCCGATTGCTCACATGCCACTGATCATATCATGTGACTTCTCCATGACGCTCACCCTCGACAAGGAGTGCATCCAGACATCGGAGATATTGCACAAACAGCTACGGAGGAGGGCGCTGATGAATTCGACAGCTATTTATTCAGCTCTTGCTACAAAACTCGGCTCCGGATGCATCAATCTACCCACCCTTCCCCTTCTCGATACCCTCACGGAATACGCTGTTGTTGGTCCCTCGTCTGCCCCATTGCCAAAGCAGAGTGAATCGAGCCCCGCTCCGCGAGCTTTCGTGACTTGCGTTGCCGATCGTTTTGCCTTATGCGTCCTTGCGCTGTGCATGTGCAGGTTGGGATCCCCCCACATGCGAGGATGTTGGGACGATCTAGCTAGCATGGAAAAGCGCTTCACAGCACTGACAGCATCGGAGCCTCGGTGAGAAGCGAGGACAGCTCTCCACCAGCAGGCTTTGTGGTCGTCTGCGTGCGAGGAGTGGAAGTGAATGCAGGTTCCGCCTGCCCTTGCACACTTGAAGTTCGAGAGTATGCACCAATGATCTCGAAGATGATGGAAGTTCGTTCATTGATCCGGAATGCACCGAAGGGGTGAATCTGGCCTGTATGATCGGAGCTCCAGGACTCCATCGATTCAACGTACCTCAAGTGACTCAAGTTCCGAGTTTGTCGAGAGCAAAGAGTGACACAGGCACCGACCTGCAGTCATTGGCAGGCTCATGGCCATCCGGGTGCCATTTCCGATGGAGACTCTGCTTTGCGATTAGCTGCCGACGTCAGCTGCTCTAAATATCACAACTCAACTCTCAACTGCCTCTTCTCATCTTAGCTGGGGGGAGGTCGACAAGCTTCTGATGCCGGGCAGTGTCCTGCAGCACACTGGGGGCTAGGGGGGCTACCCGGCTACCATCTGTGCTGGTGCTGAGTTGTTGCTGCCCCAGAGGTTACAGGATGTCAAAGACCCCTGCACAGCTGCGTCATGCATCTGCCGTGTGCGTAAAACTCGCGACTGTCGAGCACTTCCGTACTTTCCTACTCGTTCGGACATAAGCTGCGAGCGTCCAGCCAAGTGCAAAACTTGATTCTTCTCTCACCTGGGGCCGACAGCTAGCTGCACGTCTGAGCTGCATCCGCTTGACAGTGTCAGGCACGGTCTGCTACTGCGTTGCAGAGTGATAGTACCTGGAATGTGCGCTCATATGCTTAGCAGATGCACGCTCGTGAATGCCGAACTGGAGCTGTTGGTATTCCAACAGAGGTGTACGGCAACAGGGCAGCTCGTCGCTTGAAAAGTTGCTAGAAGTACAACTGCACAAATCATCTTGTTGACAGGGGCTCTCCAGTGTCGAGCTGCTCTGCCGCATCCAAACATTAGCTTCGCTCAACTTGCCAGGGGTATGCTACTTCGCGCTGGAAGTCTCACTGGGCAATGGGGTGCGGGTGCCAGATAGACAAGACGACAGCTACGTCAAGTTGGTGCCATGAGCAGCTTCTGCTGTGGCAGGGTGCCACCAAAGCAACGTCGTGGCCACCAATATCTTACGATGTACAGAACTACATGGATGGAGTTTCTGAGTCAGTACCAGCACTTGTGAACGAAAGGTTCGTCTACAGTGCTTCACCACCGCTGAACCTATACAACGGCAACACATTCAGAAAGCGCTCGTGAATACCCCGAGTCCAGACTTTGGGATTCCTGGTACCTACTGAAGGTGAAACGTGTCTGGCTACGTGAAGCTGGGCCTCTCAGTTCTTCCAACGAACACCTGCGAGCATCAGCATGGGTGCTGTGAGATTCGATGCTTCGTAGTTGATTGTATGTTCGTGGCCGTGCTTATCTGTCATGGTTGTCCCGTCTCGGGTTTTCGCGTCTGAGTTGCAGAAGCTGCTTCTGCTCAGGAGGGACAGGCCAAGCTCGGCATGATTGTCGCTCAAGCAGCTGGGAAGCGCTGCAGCTCGCAATGACCTGCCTCCTCACCCTTACTTCTCGACGATGAGGTGCTTCTTCCTAGAAAAAAGAGCTCCCACAAAGAAAAGCCTTTGGAAGCAGCGCTCTCCGAGGCGTTCGCTCGGCCAGGCCAAGGGCCCGCTCCAGCTCCTTACGGCGAAGATTTTGCACGGCTTTCAGATGCCCACACCGCCCAAAAATTGGGGCGGCGGGAAGGGCTGCAGGGATTCCACTGATTCCGCATCTCCTTTTCACCCGCACCTATGCACAGAACCTTCGATCGGTGCTCTACGATACCGGTCGAGATGTTAGTAGCTGCTACTAGTATGTCAGAGATCGTCAATCTACACGCCCCACACGCCGTAGGTACCACATGCACCGGAAGTACAGTGAAATTTAAAAACCCCTTGAACTTCTCTGGTGTCTTTCTGCTTTCCAAGGAGCTGCCAGGGTCTGCTCGACCATGGCGACCTTGGCCTGCAATGGCAGCGATTTGAAAAACTACGCACAGCTGAACCGAAGGGGAGGGAACACATCAGGAACGCATGGGCGTGGTCGGAAGCCGTGCATGCAGTCAAGACTTCCAGTATTAGCCTCGAGAACCCCTGACTTGTCATCCCGAGTGTGTCTTGAGGCACTCACTGTCTCGCACAGCTTGCGCATCTATTCTTGGCATGGATGTTCTGTGCGACGGAGGAGGGCCCTGCAGAGCCTCCGAGGGACCAGTGCGTCCGCCTGGACTCCGCGGTGTGGTCCGGGCAGTCAGGACCTGAGAGACCCCCACATATTCAGATTCTGACGTCGACACACCATGAAGTATTCGTCCGAGCACACCACGATGGGAGCGTCTGCCTGGGTTCTGACCTCAGAGATCCCATTGGTTCACCACAAAGTCAGTTCACCACAGGCGGAGCCTTCTTATCTTGACCCTCGAGACTGACCATGAAAGCGGCTCGCCTCCCCCGGTGCTGTGCGGAATCGCCTTGTCAGGGGCGTGCTTAGGGGCAGGAAGGCTCTCCCAAATTACAACAGTGCCTTGGCATAGTTGGTGGCGGTGAGTCTCGGAGAGCCGGCGTGGTGGTAGTCACTGCCGCGGGCCCTCTCCAGGTTGATTTGCAGCAGCACTCTTCAACTTTGAGTCTACTCGCTGAATGATGCCTCACCTCCCCTCCCCGCACGTTGAACTTCTCTGCGTTCACAGAGCCCATGGCTGCCTACCCCTGGCTTCTCATATCTCTGCTGCCAAAAAGACACGCACGTCATTCCGTCAGTCCTTCTGCAAGGCGCGGATCTCTCCTCGTTGCATCGACCACCTCACAGAGCATTCGATGCTTTGCAACTTCTGTCTATGTCAGAGCCCATAACCTTATAAGAATCTTAGCGGGCTACACCTGGTCCACCCCCAAAACATTACCAACCCCAATATGCTCCGCTGGCGGTTGCATGCTTTTTTGCATTTGCTGCTTGCGCGTTTTATTGTGTTCCATTTTTTGCAGTTGCTGTTTGCGTTTTGTTGTGTGTGTTTGCTGGCGTGTTTGAATTTACCGTCGCATTTTTTTGCATGTTTTTGGGCTGAGGCGGCCCGGCAAAATGCGAAAAGAAGGTGCACCCAAATCCTGAGGACGACCAAAACGCAAAAAACAAGCAAGCCTGGAAGCAGCGGCCCGCCAAAATGCAGGAAAAATGCAAGCCTGCAAACAGAGGCCGGCCAAAACGCAAAACAAAAATGCAAAAAACACAAATGTTCCAGGAAACTGCCAATTTTCCAGATCTTTAATGACTTCAGCGACGACCGCAAACTGTTGACTATTTACTAGGTCTGTGTGTCTGCCTGTATGTCGCGCTGTCTGTGCTATCGTGCTTCTAAGCCCTTTGGCACTTTCGTCAGGCCTTGGAACGCTTCGGATGCAGCTTGCCACGGAGCTCTGCATTCTCCTCGACTAGGGCCTGGAAGAGCTGATGACTCGGAGACCGATGGTCCGACTTTGTCGGGCACCTCCAAGCGGTTCAGCTGCTCTTGCTGCCGCTGTATGTGCCTGTGTTGGAGAGCTATTTCAAGAGACGAGAGTAGATGAGAACAGACAGACTCGTAGAACTCTTGAAATGGCATACCATGAGTTGCAGCTGAAGATGCGCCAGCAAGTTGGAACCTGAGTGATGTCCACCGGCACATACGTGCCAGATGCAGCATGAAAAGAACCTCTGCCAGCCTGTCCGCTCAGAACTCGAGCGAGTGGTACGTTGTTAAGTGCTGTCCGAGCGGCGATCTGAGGCCTGTGCCTGGAGCCAGGTGCAAAACGACACTTCTCCACAAAAGCTCAGGAGTCACGAGATGTTGCAGCCTCGCCGTCAACACTTGCCTGTCCTCGCATGTCCCTGAGTTCCTGACCTCGAGGAAGGCCAACCGCGCCAGGAGCGGCTCGGCCGGGGGCGCCTGCGCGGAGCGGGGCGACTTGGGACGTGAGGAGAGAAAGCACCGGAGCGTCGACTAGCAGCCGGTGGGCGGGGGGGGCGGGGGGGGCAAGTGGAGCAGCCGATTGCTTCAACTCCGGCATCGGTGTTGGAGGTGTAGCTTCCGTTGCATCAGCAGAATCAGAAGCACCAAGAGTACTCGCACCGATGGCCATGCCTTGCAGCTTGTGTAGCAAGCGTCCCGGGGAGAGTCAAACCTTTGTGCATCATGCAGCTCCACAGTGAAATCCTGGCCTTCTGTCTCTGTCACTCTTCAGCGACCTCTCAGGCCACGGCGTCTCACGTCCAGCACTCTGAGTCTCACCGTCCGCCTGAAAAGGCTGCGTTACGAGCGATAGCGATGCAAGCGACATCAGCCATCCGTGCGGAAGGAAAGAGCTCGGGCTCCTGTTTGAGCGTAGCATGCTCGGACTCCGAGCTGGGGCAGCTGGGGCTCTTGGTGCCTGGTCACGAATCTGTGTGTACATCGACTTGGCACAGTGAACTGGCCTGGCCTACTCCGGCTCCTGTTTGCTCCGATGTGGGCGATGGCGACGCAGGTGGTACCCTCGGGGCGGCCTTTGGCCCCGAGACTGATGATAGCTCCTATGCTGAAACGGATGACTACATCGCATGAAAGGCGAGAGCACACTTCAGGTCTCTTCAATTGCGGAGTCCTTGGCTTTTGCCGTCGGCTGCACTTCATAACGGGGGGCTGTGGCTGTGTCTGCGGAGTCCCCTGGCGGTGCTTGGCTTCGTGTCGGCTGTGGCCGTGATGGCTGGGGACCCGAGCCCACACGCGCTTCCCGAAAAATCGGTGCCGTCGGTGCCGTTTCTGCTTGCGCTTGTGGCTGCACATCTGGCACTTCTGGCTGCAGGGTTTCCAATGGAGTCATGGATGCGGGGAGATGCTCGCTGCGGCTCGGCAGAGAAGCTGTCGTCGCCGTCATCGCTGTTGCGGTCGTTGCAGTCATTGTCTCGCAAGGAGCCAACAAGTCTGTCGGCTGTGTAACCTGCACGTGTGCCACAGCGGCTTTGCTCCTCAGGTGATTACCAAGACAGGAAGTTTGCGACTCCGACGGCTCCGACGCAGTGAAGCTGCAGCTTGGTGACTCTCGAGCAGGTTGCCGTGAAGCTCCACCTGGACATCAAAACATACATGCTATTCCGGTGAAAAAGCCACTGTGCGAGCTGCTCGGCCTGGAATCAGCCGGCTTTGTGACGGAAGCGGGCCCTCGGCAAGCCTTGTTCAAGTCACCCATGTTTCTACAGTTTAAGCTCAGACCCGCTTTGCTGGCCAGCCGCGCCCCGCGACGCATTTGCCTCAGTGCCTGCTGATGGTGCCTCAGTGTCGTCAGCATGCATGGGCATGGGCTACATGGGGCCTGTGCTGAGCAGATTCACATGCCTCGGAAGGCTTCACATGACACGCGCACGGGGAGGTTATCTCCGCGCATGTGCACGTGCGCGCGCGCGCGCCCCCGCATGCGCTTCGGCCGCCGAGGGCGCAGCTGTTCCCACAGCGAAGGCCCAGGCCCCGAGGGCGAAGGCCGCGGCGCCGGCGCCGTCGCCTGAGATCAAAGTCGCAGCAGCGAGAATCCGACAACCCCAGCCCTGGCCTGCTGCCCGGGGCGAGCATGTGTCGTCAACCTGTCGGGATTCCCTTTAGCCAGGCAGAGCCACAGGCGATTTTCTTTTTGCCTGGGCGACTGTGGCTGTGGAGCATCGAAGCGCGGCGAGGTCGGGGGCGAGGCGCCGAAGTGACCTGAAGGAACCCCTTCCAAGGCCAAGCGAAGGGGCAGAACAAGCGCTGCTCAGCGCCTGCTGCCACGGTGGAGCGCGCCGGACCCGAACCGCTGCAGACGATGAAGGCCTTTTCAAGGAGCCGCGGGCACCACACACAGACAGTGGGGGGGGGGGGACCCAAAAGCTACGCGGCCTCTCGGGAGCGGCTCAGGAGGTCCACGGCGAGGCCGGACACCTCCGAGCGGGCGGAGCAGTCAACGGAGCAGTCAGCCAAGCCGTCGTGAAGCCCTGCCCCGCACTGCGCCTGCGGGGCCGCCTGGGCCCCTGGGATCCGAGGCGAGACCATCGGATGGAGCTGCGACCTGAGAAGAAGCTCGCAGATACTGCTCTCTCCTTCCAGAGTTGGCACCGGCATGCCTTTGCTGAGAAAAAACTAGAAGACAAGTGGCCCGAAAGCATCATTTGCGAAGAGT